CAGCTCGCTCGCGTGGACCTGGGGCCAAGACCCAGATTACGTGTTGGCAGCCCTGGCTGGCGCTGGCACCAGCTCCACGTGCGCCACCTGCGCCCCGCTCACCCTCCACTCCCTTTCTGACTCTTCCCCTCCACTATTCCCCTCCGCGATTGTCCCTCTAGTGGGCAAGGCCAGCCCTTCTTAAAGGAAGTGGGCGCTCCCCTGGACGCTTGTGTGGAGTACTCCTGTGGATCACTTCTGTGCTGCCACCGCCGCTGCCGTCATGTTTTCACCCCAGTCGCGGGCCCGGCCCGCCATGGTGCTGGGCGCCATGGAGATGGGGCGCTGCCTGGGCGCCTCAGCCAGCGCCGAGTCCGTGCGCGCCTTCCTGGAGCGCGGCCACACCGAGACAGACACGGCCTTCATGTACAGCGACGGCCAGTCCGAGAGCATCCTGGGCAGCCTGGGGCTCGGGCTGGACGGCGCAGACTGCAGAGGTAACGGCCATCCCTGCCCTCCCGACCCCTTACACAGTGCGGAGCTGACCCCTCCACAGCACAGTATTCTCATCCTCCTGGGACCCGACCTCTCCCTCTGCTCCCTGCAGCTCTATGGGCCCCAGGCAACGGACACCTGAACGATTTTTTTTTGCTCAGACTCCTTTCCCTTTCGGGAAGGTGGGGCAGGATCCTCCCCAATGCGAGGTTCAACCCAGGTCGAGCTGGAATCACCCTGTTGTCTGTTTTGTGGGGCTCTGAGGACTTCTGAAACTGGCTCCTTGCTGCCCCTCCCTTCTTATTCCTCTCTGAATTGCCCCTCACCGGCCTCATCTTCAGGAATCTTGTCCTTACCACCCTGGCATTCCCTGACACAGCCCCAGATCCAACTCTGGAGGAGAGCTGCTTGCTCATCTGCTCCTACCAGCCTTGCTCTGGGCCCAGGTCTTTGCTTTTAGTAGCTATCCTGTGTCCGAGGCTTGGCAGTGTCTCCTGCTACACTGGAGTTGCAACTGACTCTATCCATGCCAGACTCTAAGGCTATAGCAGAGAAATTGATGTGAACCTTCCTGGGAGCTCAGATTCTAGAGATATCTGGGCACAGGGGGCACGCTTCTCAGGAGCCAGCCATGGAAGAGAGCCCCTCCAGAGGGGGGATCTTTAAAGACTGGGTAGGAGTTTGCTAGAGGATATAAGGGGAGAAAGCGCATTCTGGGCAATGGTGTGGGTGTGCAAAGGCAGTGAGATTTGTTAAAGCTTCGAGGTTGGAGGAGACCTATGTAATTTAAGGGGAAGATGGGTATGGAGCTGAGGGAGCATCCCTCATTGGTCTAATGCCACGTTATCGGCTTGCAGGCATCTTAGCAGGCTCAGAAGTTTTAGATATTGTCTTTCCTTTGGAAATGGGGTCTCAAAGTAGAGCTCAACTGGTCCTCCAGTCTCAGCCTTCCCAGTGGCTGGGGACCACTGGTGTATGCACCACACTGAGCAGGTGCTTTGTTCTTTTATTAAAATTATTGACCCATATCAATTGCACAAACTAATTAGATTTACTGTGATATTTCCATACATGTATATATGGTACTGTGTCTGTCCATCATATTCTTCTATCCTTACCCCTTTTTTTTCCCCTCCAGTACTGGATATTGCACTCGGAGCCTTCACACTGAGCTACATCCCCTGTCATTTTCTATTTTTCATTTCAAGACAAGGTATCATTAAATTGCTTGGGCTGAGCTAGAACTTGTGATCCTCTTGCCTCAGCCTCCCAGAGTGCTGGAATTGAATTGCATGTGTGGCATGACTACCCTGGCTCCTCCTGTTTGTTTTTTTTCTGGTACCTGGAATTGATCTCAGAACTTTGCACTGCCAGGCAGACATGACACCACTGAGCTACATCCTTGGCCCTTACCCAGGCTGGCCTTGAACTTGCAGTGGTCCTCCTGCCTCAGCCTCCTGAGTGCTGGGATTACAGGTGTGCGGCACCATGCCCAACCTCCCACTTTGTTCTTTTTTTGGTTTTTAAAACTTTATTTCAATATAACTGTACTTACAGAAATATACTTGTATTGGTTAACAGAATACATTTAACTTATGCTACATAATTTCAACCAAAAAGTTGGTACATGGTTTAACCCACTTTATTCTTAAAAGCCTCCTTTGCCTTCTTGCAGTCTGTATTAGCCCCTCAAATCCCCCCTGCCATCTTGCTCCTTGCTTCACAGCTTAGTAGATTTGAAACAATAGGAGATGGGTACATCTCAGGGCCAAGCTCTTTATAAATTGCCTGGCTGCCTCTGATCTCATTTCTGCTTTTTCTTTATTTCTAACTCTTCCCTTCCATCTTTGAGGCCAGGACTAGCTGGCCTGATATTCACAGATCTCAGATCTGAAGGTAAGTTCACATCAAGAAGAGGTGGAATGGAAAAGTTTCCCATGTGTATTTCCTTGAGCCTGGACTCTCCCAAGTCTCAAGGGTTCCAGTGATTGCCCACGGGCCTGCCCAAGTGACTTTCCAACCCCAAGTGACTTTCCAAGATCAAGTGACTTTCTGAGTGTGGAGAATGGGAAGAGGACACTTCTCTCACATGTCCATCTAGCCAACTAGGATTCGATTTTATTATTTTATTAGTACATGTCTGCAGTTCATGCAGTTTACAGTCATCTTGGGGAGTGGCTACATGTACATGCTGCAACTTTTTTTTTTTTTAATCCCCTTCCCTCTCCCTCCCTCCTCTAACTCCCCTATCCTGATTTTCATTCTTGCTGATATTATTACTCTTAACTCATGTTATGGTAGGTAATGTTTATATTCATTGAGGTTATTAGGTTCTTGTACACAGCATATCTTTATTCTACCTATTTCCCCTTTACCTCCTCCTCACCCCCTGACCTTGTTCCCTTGGACCACTTCCCTATTGCAAGTGATCCATCCCCTTGTCCCCATCTTTCCATCTTTTATTATTCTCTGTTTGTACTTTGTCTTGCTCCAATGAGAGATACAATATGGTATTTAAATTTAGGGCAAGCAGGAAAGTCTGGACTCCCATGGATGGCCCACTGCTGGCCCCATTTTCTGGGAGGTCTATATGTGATCTTGGCTTTTCCTTCTTGGAGGCCCATATCTAGGCCTCTCCTAGTTCCTGCTGCAGTCTCCTTATTGCTCTCCCTGTGTCTAGACCAGCCCTTCATCCCTAGTGCATTTACAGTCATCTTTCAAAACTAGAAGGCTGACCATGGAGCTCACGTCTTAAAAGCATTCAGGGGCTTCCAGGGCCCTCTGAAGGCACTGTATGGGTACACTTGGGCCCCTCTGGCTTCTGGAATTGGCCCTGTGTCCCATGTCCCACACCTTGAACCTGGTGCTCTGATCCATGGACTAATAGACATGGCTCCCCTTGGCTTTCCCTTATGCCTCACATTCTGGGATGAATTTCCAACTTTTCCACATCTTGACCTCAGGTTTTGGTCCAAGAGTCCACCTGAGATTGTTTTTAAATAAGATTCTAAGGAGATCCTTCCTGAGCTCCCAGCAGGCCTCATATGATTATGCCCTGGGCTCCTCCAGCACCTTATGCATTTCCCTGCCTCCCTATTAGAGAGTGGCTCTCCAGACTGAATCCTTGAAAGATGAGAGTTCTTCCCTTTACCAGCCCTACAGCCAGGTCTGACACAGCCCTGTATGTAATCACCATACTGAGGACATCTCCAATTCATGATGATTACACTTAGCCAAGTTCCAACCAATCCTCAAGACTTACCCATGTTACCATTTTTACTGGAACTTTACAGTGAAGAGGATTGAGATTCAGACATAAAGTACCTTAGTCAAGGCCAAAGAGCTAGCAGTGGCAGAGCTGGGATTTGAACCTAGGTCTGTTTTATCCATTGCATAGGCCCCATGTCTGATGTATGAACAACTGATTCAAATTTTGTTTCTGTCCCTTCCAAGTGAAAATTGCCACCAAGGCCAATTCATTGTATGGAAACACACTGAAGCCCGATAGTCTCCAGTCCCAGCTGGAGACGTCATTGAAGTGGCAGCAGTGTCCCCTAGTGGACCTCTTCTATCTGCACATGCCTGACCATGATACTTCTGTGGAGGAGACGCTGCGGGCCTGCCAGCAGCTGCAACAAGAGGTGAGGGTGGGAGGTGGTTTCTACCCGCCCTCATGCTGACACTACCAGGAGAGTGGAGGCACTGGGGCAGCCAGAGAGCTGGGGGCAATCCCCCTCCCAAGTCCACTCCCTACCAGGTCTCCATGCCTGACTCCTGGGCTGAGCTGGTTCTTACCAGGCCTCTCTCCTGCAGGGCAAGTTTGTGGAGCTTGGCCTCTCCAACTATGCTGCCTGGGAGATGGCCAAGATCTGTACCCTGTGCAAGAAGAATGGCTGGATCCTGGCCACCATGTACCAGGTGAGGGCTTCCTGGGGTGCCAGGGCTGCTGGGGTCTCAGGCTGCAGGGCTCTGCTGATCCCAGCTCTCCTTGTCCCTCAGACTGCCCCTATGTCCCTATATAGCAGTGTCTCCTCTACTAAACCCATAGGTAGCTCCCAGGTAGCCTCAGCATGAGGCCCAAGCTCCTAAGCCTGCCCTCCAGGCACCTGCTGGCTTCCTGCAGCTCCACCTTCCTTTCATACCCACTCTGTACTTCAGCCTGGAACACTCCTGCCTGCTCCCTGGGAGAAGGGCTGAGGTCTCAGTTAAGTGACTCTTCCTTGGGAAGTGCCTATCCAAAGCCCTCAGGAGCCTGAGATCTCAGCCTCTACTTTATGTCCTCATTGTCCAGTCAACAAATGTTTGTACACCTGCTTGGTTGCAGGCACTGGTCACAGAACTTACTAGTACATTAAGGTTGCCTCTGTATCGTTACACTTGTTTACTCGCCCTTGCTGTAACCTCAGGCAAGGACCTTCTCCTTTAGCTGTGGTTCTGAACCTGGCTTCCAGTTGATGCAGGTAAATGTTGGCTGAATGGACGAATTTTTCCTAAAAATAACCTTCTCCAACACTAAATTACTTCTGTTACTTTTCTCTTTGCTGAGACAAAATACCCAACATCCAAAGTTAAAGAAAGGCTTATTGTAGCTCATAGTTTGTAGAGGTTTCAATTCACAGTTGAATTGAAAGGCAAGAGAAGGCAACAAAGCAGAAAGCAGCAAAGTAACACAGCAGTAAGCAGTGACTATAGCTCTCCTGTCTTATTTTCTATCCAGACTACAAGCCCTTGGGGCAGGTAGCACTCACACCCAGGGTGGGCCTTCCCATTATCTACTCCCAGAATTCTGCTAAACCAATCAGTGGACTAATCTAATACTATACACCCTTGACCCCAGCATCCCACACTCTAGAGCCAGCCAACTCTCAAAAGCCCCACCTATGACTGTGTGAGGCTTTTGGGGCGGGGGGGGGGGGGGGGAGGGGGCATCCAAACACAAGCCATAACCAAGCCCTAATTGGCAAAGTCCTATGCTCTAGGTCTGAGCTGGGGCTTTAAAAGGATAGTTTTGGGGTACCTTCCGTTCACACATCCACCCTAACTGGCCCCTTTCCCTGCAGGGCATGTACAATGCTATCACCAGGCAAGTGATAGGTGGCCTGTCTTCTGTGTGATGGGAAGTCTGCCAGGAACTCTGTACCAGAAAAACTGCCAGCTTTCCCTCTCCTCTTAGCACCATCAGCAGTGAGCACCTGCTAGTGTCCCAAATCCAATTCATTTCTGTCACCTCAGCCCCGAAGACTGCCCCCCCATGCCAACTGCAAGCTTATTTCTGACTGTCCCACTACAAATCAGGGTTCTCACAACCCCTTCCTCAGTTGTTAATTTGCTTAAGGATCTCACAACTCAGGGAAACACCATCGACTGTTTTATCTTAAAGGGGATTAGAAAGGATATAGGTGAAGGGCTGTAGAGAGTGAAGTATGGGGAACAGATGTGCCACTCTCTGGAAACCATGTGTTCACACATCCTGGGAGTGCTCTGAACCCTGTGGTGCCAAGTTTTTACTTGGCGACTTCACTGCAGATGTGAATGCAGAGATTGAGTGGGGAACCTGGAAGAGCCTGTAGTTAGCTTGTTCTTGCTTCCATGAAGTTCTCCTTCCTTCAAGCACGGGGCAGGATCCGTCTGCAATGAGGATCTCAAGGATCAACAAGATAGGTCAGGATTTTTTCTGCAGTGCTGGGGATGAACCTAGGGCCTCAGGCATGCTAGGCAGGTGCTCTACCACTGAGCTCTGCTGCCTGTTCCCAGAGAATCTTTATGGTCAGCCGTAGGCAGGGACTAGAGAAGAGAGTTATAAGCCAGGAAGAGTGGACATAAAAAAATGTATGTATCTCAATGTCATACACCATGGACTAGATTTTCTTTTCATAAATACCTGCAAGAGTCCATTGCTGGAGTTAAAAATGTCCCAGGATGCTGTGTGCCACATTAAACACTCACCCCCACCTCCAGCAGTGGCTTTACTCTTGAGTTAGCTGAAGTGCCCGGCCCCTTGGTACCCATCAGTCTTAGCCATGGTTTGGAGAGGGAGACTATGTGTGTAGAGGCAGGAAAGGGCTGCAAGAGTGCCCATTTTCCTCAGGAAATCTCTGTTCTGAGTACTGTAAAGGGCAATAAGAGCTGGAGAGGGCAAGAAAGCTCAGGTCTGAGGGCTGTTCTCAGCTGTTTCCAAAGCTGCAGCACTGCACTGGCTGACTAGATGCACGGTGGGAATCCAAGTAGAAGCACAAACCTAAAGGCCTTCTTCTAAGAGTCTCTTGCCATCTACAGGGGAACACCCTGTGGACAAAGTTTTATTCTTTATGGAAACAACGTCAGTCCCCATTACCCTTTGTCCTCGTCCACAGCAAAATAAATAGCTGCTTCCTCAGAGCTGTGCCGCAGTCCTGTGTGGGCTGGGGAAGAACAGAACATGCCAGAAGGTCTTAGGTCCTGAGTCCGAGTCAGTCGTCTTCATCCTCTGAGTCTTCTGAGGACTCAGGTGCGCTCTCTGGCAAGTCGTCATCGCCCATCTGCTGGAACCTGCCTGACTGTGCATCCCACATATATTTAATGGTCACCTTGAATTCGGCCATCTCATACCCAAAAAGCTTCTGTAAGAGGCAGACGGATGCAGAGGAAGAAGGAATGTTACCAGAAGTGCAGGCCAGGGAAAGCAGCAGTCCCTCCCGCCAGAGCCCTGGAGGGCCAGACTCACCAGGACACGGGCCTGTTCTGGGGTCAGTACATCACCCTCCTTGCATACCTCGTAGTCGGACAGCAGGGTCACCACACCTGCAGGTGAGTGCCCCAAGTTATTTTTGGCACAGAGGCCTACACTGTACTTGCCACGATTGCCCCGAGTTGGGAAGCTCATGGTGGCTGCTGTCCTTCGCACAGCTCACTTCAAAGTGAATGGCCACCTCTTCAGTGGCCCTTCAGTGCTGTACTTTGGCTGTGATGTGCTCCACTTTCACCTAAGCTATGAGCTGGGCGCTCAACCCCATTCTCATGTGAGAAAATAGAGGCCAGTAGAAGTAACTTGCTCAATCAGGAAGGGGTGGGCCTGGAGGCCTATCGTCCTGGGCTCTAGGCTGTCACCTTTCAGCTCTGGGGTCTGTTCGTACCTCTCTTGAGGGCAGTGGGCAGCCCCAGCTGCCTCAGCTGTGGCTCCATGGAGTGAGGGAACTGCTCCAGGGGCCCTGAATCCAAGCTCACGGTGAAAGTTGCTTTGTTACCAGCTCGGGCAAAGTCCATTTCTGTGTATTTCGTAAACCACCTTAGGGAAGCAAGAAGTGATGAGAGGGGATGTTTCTGAGCCACTCACCAACTGAAATTGAGTCTCCCAGCAAGTGCCCAGTAGCTCTAGGCCTCCCCAGGCCCATGGCCAGGCTGGACCACTGTGCCGGAGAGGACAGAGACATCTCTGATCACGGCCCACTGCTCTAAATAAGAGGCTTCCAGGATCAGTTTGAACTCCACACTGCCACACGGGACAGTCCCTTCATTAGTCCTGGAATCCTCTCACCTTCTCTTCCCCTTCATTCCTCATGGAGACTTACTCATTGACCTCTTCCTTCGTCCGGTTGGTAAAAAGGAGGCCAACTTCACCCCTCAACTTCTTACTGACCTATAAATCAAAAGTGAGATCAGTTTTTCTCTTGGGGATACTTCCGCCCATCAGGGGACATCTGGTAATGTCTAAGGACATTTTTGGTTATGGAGGGGATGACACACAAGGGTATGATTCCCTGGGTCTGCAGGTTAAGGGAGAACCCAGAGCTGTAAGCCAGGCCTGGCCATCCTGACCCACAGGTAGGCCACGTGGCTGTGGTGGCACATGGGAGCAGTAGGAAAAAAGACAGCTGGCCTTAGCCCCTCCCAGTGAGGGTCAGGGACTCACCTGGTGTAGGTTGTCTTTGTACTCATCAGACGGGCTTCGACCCAAGGCTACCATCATCACCTTGTTTTTGCCAAAGAATATCCTACCAAGAATGAGGAGGACGTGAAAGGAAGTATCTCACTTCTCCCTCCCTCAGTCAAATGCATGCAGCTCTAGATCCCAGGATCCCAGTGAGCCCAGACACAGGTGTGTCCAGAGGCTCCCACTTTTCCATGGAGCCCACCCACTCTGTCCCCAGTTCAGGGTTCCTTCCATTAGTTTTCCACTTGTGGAACCTGATAGGCAATATTTTGTAGCCAGGCCACCATATGCATCATGTAACAATCTCTCCCAGACTGAATAGAACTGGTGCAGCAGTTGATCGACCCAAGAGCCATCTGCCAGATGGCCCCCACAGCTTCATATTGGTCACAGTCTGTGGCGGATGCCACAGTGACATTCTAAAATTGCATGATGCTCAGAGTCCCAGGTCAAGGACAACTTCTCACAAAGGAAGCAATTCTCAAACATCCTCTGAGGAATTACCAAGTCCTGTCCCCTCATTGTTCTAGCCCTCATGTTCTAGCTCAGCATAAGACCAGTTTTAATGTTTAAAAAGTGCTCAGCAGTAAAGGTGGCACTTTGTCATTGTTAATGTGCCATCAGTGTGACCCTGGGACACAGAGGGGTCAGACACTGTTCTTATGCTCTGGCCAAGAGCAGCCTGGCCCCTCTTCACTCAGCAGGACCCTCCCCTGCCCACTCACCGGCTGTGCTTCCAGGCATTCCGGATGTCCTTCAGCTTGCTGTTCCTCATGTTGGCCACAGAGAAAATGAAGAGGTACTTGTATGTGTCCACACATTTCCGAAGCTGTGGGACAATTCACGAGGCTCTGGAGTTTAAGAGGCACTGTGGGTTGGGCAACTCTGCCTCAGATGGGAAAGAATCTGCTCTAGGCCTTTAATCTGGTTGTCTCTTCACTGCCATTACTGACACTAAAGCCATGAACCTACAGGGGAAGCTGAGCCATAGGTCTAGATCCCACATCTGTCCTTGGTGTCTAAACATCTGCCCTCAATGGACAGGTTCCTCCTAAATGGAAACATTGGTGCCTCATTATCTGCTGATAAGGGGAGCTGGCTCATCTGCACTGCTCTGCTAGTAATGCCGAAGCCATCAAGACAGGTGCTTCCATTCTTAATGGATGGAATCTTTGTGCAGTAGGTGACTCTGCTCTCAGCTACCTTGTAGCCTGGGGTTGCTAGGTCAGCCTTACTAAGTTTCAGTTACCTCAACTGTAAAACAGCAGTAACATCATTTAGTAGTCACTATATGTCACAGAGATCTGAGGAGGAGGGTGTAGAAAAAGGCATATGAAACAGCATAGTGCAGGGCACATGGTAAGATTTCTATCACAGTTGGAAATCCTCACTCCATAAGTTTTTATTGGTTTTAGTGTTGCTGCTGCTTGTCGGAGGGAAGGGCAGGTAAACAGTATGCTTCCCTAGCAAAGTCCAATTCCTACTTTTATAAACTAAACATATTACCCCCCCCCCAATAAAAGCAGTACACACTTACTTCTTCTATCAGGTTCTGTTTCAATTCTAAGCCTTTCTTGGTGGTTTTCGTTAAGAAAACTAATGCAAAGAAGAAAAAGAGATGTGAGAGATGAATCTAGGCACTCTGGAGACTTACTTCCTACCAGCCTTGGTGGCTCAGCTGGACCAAGCCAGTCCAAGTGAAGGCAGCGAGGCTGTGGCTGTCATCATTTCTGGCATACAAGGCCATTCCCGGGGTCCATGGTGTGCTTACTTTCCAGTGTTCCCAGGTCTGGAGATCCCTGGCTACATCCTCAGTCACTTACACAAACCAAATATTCCTTGGCCCCTTAAGCTAACCCCGAAATCTACTGCAGCATGGGGGCAGGGCTTGCCCCTAGTGTTGAAGTGCTCTCAGTGGCAGCCTGAACCTGCTGGCCTAGACAGGCTTCTTTCTGTTCTTAGCCATGGTGCACAGAAGCCACTGATGGCTGGCTCATGCTGTGGAATGGAACCTGGGTACCGTATCTCTTCTATTGTATGTCTGCATTTCAGTATTGCAACTTGGACCTATGGATGCGGTATTGCCTCTCTGGAATGGGACAAGTGACTACTGTAAAAATACCTGGGCCCAATTTGCCCCCAGAGTTTGGCATTTGCCAGATCTGGTAGAATTCCTTCCACAGAATCAAATTAATCCACAAACTCTTACTCTTTTCATTGCTGCCTCCTGATCCTATCTTCCTTAGGCTATTGTCAAATGTTACCAGTTAAAGTTAAACTACACTCTTCCTCTATTCAAGGTCTAGGATGTCTATCCTTTTCACAGGGAGTGAAAGCCAATTCCTTACAAAGACCTTTGAAGCTTTGCTCTCCCTCCCTCAAGTCTATTTTGATCATTCTGCTCCAAACATACTGGCTCCTTGTCCCAGAACATGTCAGCTATGGCCCACTTCAGGGCCTTTGCACCTTGTGCTCCCTCTACTTTGAACAACCTTCTAGGTAACTCCACAGGTCTCTCACCTCCTTTCCTCAGGTTTCTACTCATTTGTCACCTCATCAGACAGATCTTTTCTGACTACTTTTATATGAAATAACATTATTTTCATTTTTTTACCTCACTTTCACTCTGAGACTCATCACTGACACACTGTATTTACTCAAGGCGGGGGCACAGTGCTAGGCCTTTCTTGTTTTAACTTTTCTATCCTTCATCGCCTACAGTGTCAGGCCCCTAAATATTTATTGAATGTGCTAGAGATGCAGGGTGAGATACATGGCACCATTCATCGTAAAGGTGGGCTAGGAGATGCTCTGCAAACCTGGAACCGAGGAACCAGCCCTATGTATACCAGAGGATAAGCATTCCAAGAGGGACTGCAGGTGTTAAGAGCCAGACGCGGGAACAAGCCTGTGCTGAAAAAAATGGGAGCAGGGAGGCAAAGGCAATCAAGGAAGATGAGTTGGGGCTGAGGTGGAGAATGTGTGCTACAGCGACAATCGAGCGCAATTTGGGTGGTTGGGAATTGTCTCTCGGCCCCGTAGGGCTGGCAAAAGCACTAGAGGCCAAGTAAAAACCCCGGACCCGTCCAGGCTCTGGTTCCCCCCGGCGGCCCCGCCGCTCCGAACCGTCTCACCCAACTCGCAGAAACCGTGGAGCTCTTTACGGAGGCCCAGACGCTCCACTCCGTTACTCCATCTATCTGAAGCCCCCACCGAAAGCCAGGCGGTTAGCCCAAGAGATTCCCACCGGCTCCCGACATCCCTTCGCCCACCTTTCTTGTCGCGCTTGGATTTGGGCATCGCGCTGGAACCACGTGCGGCGGAAGAAGGCGGTGTGGCTCCTTAGGACCTCGGTGGCGCGGGGGCCTCTGGGATGGCCCTCGGGGGGTGTCCTCGTGAGCGCCTGACCCAATCTGAGCTGGTACTCGTCTCTCCGGGCCGCCGCCTGCTTTCTCCCGTGTCTGCAGGAAAACGACCTAGGAGCCTCGGCCGCTTCCAAGTTCCCTAGGGCCAACAAAAGCCTCTCGCGCGGTCGCAACTCTATGGTTCCGGGAGGCGGGGCCTGCGGCCTGGTGCATGCTGGGTCGGCGGCGGACGCCTCGGGGCTTCAGTCATGGCGTCGGTGCTGTGTTCCCGGCTCTGGTTCTGGGCTGTGCTGCTTGTCCCTGCGGCCGCGGTTTATGAAGACCAAGTGGGCAAGTTTGATTGGTGCGTACGTGGGGGGCTTGTTCGGGAAGGAGGTGGCTGTTTTCCAGAGTCGTTTCCTGTCTGGTAAAAGGAGGGAGGTTACCATGGAGCAGGTTCGGCTGCATAGCTTGCTGCACCCTGTGCAAAATGAAAACGTGGGATCCTTGTTCACAAATTAAGAATTTAAAGATTTTAAGACTTCGACCGAGGAGTATTAAGCCAGTGTTGGGGAGATCTTCTCAGCTGATATTTGTGTGACTGTTGAAGCTGGCTGTGCTTTGGGGTTCTGGTTTGAGTCCCTCCTCCCACGCCTGGTCTTGTTTCTTCGACTGTCAGGTTTCTGGTCTCCAGGGTGTTAGAGGTCACCAGTCCTCAGTGAACTTGCTATCCTTCTCGAACTGGCTGGCGTCAGTTGGTCATATGAACTAGGGCTGGTTCTAAGTCCTGTATCGAGTCCTGTTTCGCCTCCTGTCATCTGAAGGCGGCCCAGGGCTCAGAGAATGGACGCCGCAAACTCTCATTAGCCAGAAGGTGCGATGCGTTCACTCTCATCTTCTTTAACACTCTTGCTTTTTGCTTTATCCATTTTTCCACTTAAGGGTTTTGTGATCTTGGGGAAGTAACTTAGCCACTCTTTGCCTTGGCTTGTCTGTCAAATGGGTTTATTAATTGACCAGTAGTTCTTACAATATTGTGAGGATAAATGAGATAATCCCTTTAAAGTACTTAGCACAAAATCTGGCTCATTGAGTGCAATCAATAATTATTACTAGGCTGGGGATTTAGCTCAGTGGTGCCGCTCCTTGCCTCACAAGCGCAAGGTCCTGAGTTCGATCTCTGGTAGCCCCCAAATAATTATTATTACTATTTACATTTTATCCATCAGGTCCTCAGGTATCTCCTCTTCTGTGAAGTTTTTTTTTTTTTTTTTTGTCTCAGATAGCTTGATGTATTTGTTGAGTGCAACTAAAGACACAAAAGAACTTTTTTTTCCCCCTAAAGGTTACTGAAGTTAGAAAGGAATGTTGTAGTGTATGCTCATCAAAGGTAGGCCTGTGTGTCTCCTTTTGTAAGCTGACTGCCTACTCCCACTATCAGTGAGTATAGAGAAGACTAACTTTGTTCTAGTGGGGTTTAGGCTAGGGGCCTTTCCCCCCCCAGACAGGTTCTCATTATGTAGTTCAGGCTGGCCTTGAATTCACTTATATAGCCCAGGCTAGCTTGGAATTCACAACAGTCCTCCTGCCTCAGCCTCCCCAGTGTTGGGCTTGCAGACATATGCCACAACACCTGGCCCTCAAGGGCTCTTTTAGGTGTCACTTACCTTGAGTAAACATGTGCTTACATTTAGTTGGACAACTATTTCTCATCTATATGGAGGTAATTCTCTTCTTTGGTTCCCTTTGCTTTTGACTCCATTGTGTGGAAGTCTTTTCTGTCAGATGTCCTCAAAACATTTCTTAGGGATAATATAGGTGTGATGGTGATAACCCAGTGATTTGTTGTTTTGCAGGTCATTTTGTGCAGTGATTACTTTTTCTTTTTCTTTTTTTTTTCTTAAATTATTTTATTGGTACATTTTAGGTATACAACACAATTACATTTCTCATTGGGAACTTGTATCTTTACATGATGCCTCTTGGTTCTTATTTACAGTTATTACTTTTTCCTTGATGCTCTCCTGTGCTTTTCCACAGGAGACAGCAGTATGTTGGGAAGCTCAAGTTTGCCTCCTTGGAATTTTCCCCTGGATCCAAGAAGTTGGTTGTGGCCACAGAGAAGAATGTGATTGCGGCATTAAATTCTCGCACTGGGGAGATCTGTAAGTGGGCTGTGTAGACTGGTTGGCTTCTGGGTGAGAAGGCTGATTGTAGTGAATCTGAGTGGCCTGTGGCTTGTCATGCCTACCGAACTGATTCTCAAGTTACAGACACATTGGCCAAAAGATTTCTTTCTTAGTGGATTCTGATAGTTTGGGTTTTTTTTCAGTCTTGTCATCTTTGAGTATTTAATGTTCCTATAACTGGTCTTTGTAGTGTATTCTTTTAGTCCTGAACATTTTTAAATACTGTAAGATATTACTGAGCCAGGTGTGGTAGTGCACACTTGTAATCCCAGCGCTCGGGAAGCAGAGACAGGAGGATTACTTTGAGTTCGGGGCCAACCTCAGCTACATAGTGAGTTCAAGACCAGCCTGAACCACACAGCAAGACCTTGTCTTAAAAAAAAGATATTGTTGCATAGCACTTTATTCTATTTTATAGTAAAGGCTCAGATTCCCTCCTCCCTCTTAGATTTCTGCTACTAGCTGGGTTGTTAGGTATTAAAATCATAGAATGGAATTTGTAATCACTTTTTTTTATGAATCAGATGGGTTTTGTTAATCTTGTAATTGTTTACATGCCCAGTGGAGTGGTAGTGGGGACTGGAGGTATAGAGGCCTCAGATGGGGACATAGTGGCCCCTTCCAACCCTTCCTCTCCTCTCATTACTCAGTGAATGGGACTAGATCATGATCTATTAGCTGTACTCCTCTTCTCCTCTAAATAAAATTGGATATTGCTGTCCAAATAGAGATCTCTTCAGCCCTCTCCCAGTCTTCTTGGTCATGGAAATGTCCATAGTCATGCCTGCTTTCATGTCTTCCAGTGTGGCGCCATGTTGACAAAGGCACGGCAGAAGGAGCCGTGGACGCCATGCTGCTCCATGGACAGGGTAAGCAGAGGCATGGTGGGTCTCCGGCTGCCACCCTCCCATTCTTTGGCTCCCTTGTTTGTACCACATCTGATAGGAAAAGGGAAAGGGTGCTACTGACGGGTGAAGGACAGGCACCCTTTAAAGTCTGTTTGCTTTTCTAAGTCAGAGGTGAGGCTATTCTGGGTGGACTCTAGGAGGTGACAGAGCAAGTTTGGGAAATGACTTTGCCATCATCTTTTCTCTTCCAGATGCAATCACTGTGTCCAATGGAGGCCGCATTATGCGCTCCTGGGAGACTAACATTGGAGGCCTGAACTGGGAGATAACCTTGGACAGCAGCAGGTAGGGGAAGAAGCTGTGTTCCATCTTGGCTCACTGAAAAGCTCAGCTGGGGCACACCTTTGCACGAACAGCAATCTCAGGCCTTGTGAGGAGGCAGAGAACATCAAATGCCTGATCTTGATGTGCTCGAGGTTATGGAGAATGTGTCTTTCCTCAGCCAGTGTTTACTGAGCACCCCTTAGATCCCGAGCTCTGAGCTAGGTGCAGAATTTATTCTTTCTTTTCCTAATTTATTTTATCTTAGTTTTTTTCCCCTTTTTTGCACTTTATTTATGTCTGGGTTTCTCATACAAGAGAAACCATGTGATGTTTAAGCTTATATGTCTGATATATTTCACCTATAATTATGGTCTCACGGTGTATTCATTTTCTTACAAATGACTCATTTATCATTCTTACAGCAGAGTAGTATTCCATTGTGTGTGAATACTACATTTTCTTTACTCGTCTGTTGATGGACATACAAGTTGCTTCCAAGATTAAACTGTTACGAATTGTACTGTTATAAACACAGATATACACGTATTGCAGTAATATGTCTTTAACTCTTTTGGGAAGCTACCTAAAAAGGGAATAGCTGGTTCAATGGTCTATCTTTATTCCCTCCCTTCTTCCTTCCTTATTGTTTTTTGGATATGTAGCCCAGGCTGGCCTCGAACTTGCAGGAGTCCTCTTGCTTCAGCCTCTCAAGTGCTGGAATCATCCAGTTTAGGACTGGAGTTTCCATTTTTAGTTTTTTGCTGAATCTCCATAGTGATTGTACTAGTTTATATTCCTACCGATAATGTAAAAGAGTTTCTTTTTCTCCTCCCTATACCCTTGCCAGCACTTGTTATTCTTTGATTTCTTGACGATGGCCATTCTTTCTGGAGTAAGATGGAATCTCATTGTTGTTTAATTATGCATTTCTCTAATGGCCAGAGATATTGACATTCTTTCTGCCTTCAGGTTTGTTTTTTGGTACTGGTGATTGAACTCAGGACCTTGGGCTTGTGAGGCAGGCACGGTGCCACTGATCTAAACCCCCAGTCCTAATATTTATATTAGGTTTAATCTTTTTTTTTCTTTTTGACATTCTTTCATGTATTTGTTGACCATTTGTACTTCTTTCTTTATTTTTCTCCCCGGTACTGGGGATCGAACTCAGGACCTAGTGCTTTTGAGGCAGGCACAGCACCACTGAGCTAAATCCCCAGCCCCATTTGTACTTCTTTTGAGAAGTGTCTATTCATTTCAGTTGCCCGTTTTTTGATTGGATCTTTTAATTTTGGGGGTATCTAATTTTTTTGAGTTCTTGTAGATAACTTTTTTTTTGGTACTGGGGATCGAACTTGGGTCCTGCCTGCAAGGCAGGCAGTGGAACCACTGAGCTAAATCCCTGGCCCTTTGGGTTCTTAATTCTAGGTATTAGTCTTCTGTTCGAGGAATAGCTGGCAAAATCTTCTTCCCATTCTGTAGGTTGTCTCTTCACTCTGTTGGTTGTTTCCTTTGCTATGCAGAAGCTTTTTAATTTGATATGATCCCTTTTGTTGATTCTTGATGTTATCTCTTGTGTAGTTGGGATTCTGTTCAGAAAATCCTTGGCTATGTCACTATCTTCAAGAGTTTTACCTATTTTGCAGAAGATTGTTTTTGTTTTAATATTAAATGTTTGATCCATTTTGATTTTAGTTTAGTGGATGGTGAGAGATATGGGTCTAGATTCAGTCTTCTGCATGTGGATAGCCAGTTTTCCCAGCACCAATTTTTAAAACCTAGCGTGCATAAGGTTGGTTAAAATACACCCAAATCATAACTTATGCTCCTTGGCACAAAATTTAATCTTTTTTGGGGGGAGCGGGGAGAGGAGGAGAAGAAGGTTGCTTGTGCTTTATTTTCACATTTGTACTTTTCATGTTCTTAAAAACCAGTTTATAGGAAAATATAAAGACAGAATAAATAAATTAGATGATTATTCACATTGTAAAGAGATTTTCCACAGGGTTCCATTAAATACTGAACTCCCTTAGGGCACTGAATTTAGGATGTGATTTAGATGCAGCTTTTCAGGAATACACTTCTTGTATAAAGTGGGGTACACCCATATATTCATCTTAATTCTCCTCCAAGGACAATCCAGCACTTGTTCCCATTCAAAGGGCAAGAAACAAACAGTCCTTATTAAGGAAGTCAGTGGCTCCATAAACTACTCCTCACCTTTCCCAAGAGCAGAGGCTTTGAGGAATCCAACCAACAAAGAAAAAGACCCAGGGCTGGGGATATAGCTCAGTAGTGCTGCCACCTGCCTTGAAAGTGCAAGGACCTGAATTTGATCCCCAGTACCAAAAACAAAATAAAAAGACCCACATGGGGACACAGTCCTTCCACTATCTCACACCAACGCTCTTTCTAAACACCAGGGATCTGCTTCACCTTGGTTCAGGCAAATATGAGTGGAGGAGCAGCATGTACAAGATTGAGAGTCTACATAGGCTACAAATATGGCCTGTGGTAGAGGAGGAAATTCAAAGAAACCTTCCCAAAGACTTTGTACAAATGTATACTGGGTAAGGAAAGGCTCCTAGATGTCCACCTACAACAGAGGGAGTACAACTGCTAGTTGTTTGAAAGACCATGAGAATCAAGGATCCTTTCCACCTCATCCTTGTGCTAATTAATATTAATTGGTAAATCACCTTAATCCCAGAGAGCAAAAATAGGCGATTGGGGAACTTAGTCCCACAAATTGGTGGCAGTCAAGGAGAATACCCAGTAGAGGATCAAAATGGTCACATTCTAGGTGGCTTCACCGCTCATACCAGCCGGCCAAGTTGCAAATGCTCTGGGGCTGGTCCCCAGCAGTCTGCACTGCCTGGCAGGCCCTGCACCAAGGCTCGTCCCAGAAGGAGGTGATGTGGATCGTGTACCTCTGGCGCCAGTGGAAGTAGGTACACTGCCAGGTTGCGGTAGAGGAAAAGCAGGTAGGCAGCGAGGGAAGAGGCACTAGGGAAGTCGTCCATGTGGATGAAGGAGTCACAGGGCACAAAGTGCTAGTAGTTGGCACGGTTTGGGCCTAGAACCACCGGGACCAACCCGGCCAGCAACGAGTTGTGCCAGAGCTTTTCAGTAATATAATCCAGGTGCTGAGAGTTTTCAAAAGCCAGGTAGAACTTGTAGTGGGCCACGGTGTTCAGAAGCCCGCTGTCGGGCACAGGCCGCCCAGGCCCGCCGCGGCGGAACACGTCAACCAGCAGGTGCTTGCTCAGCCGGTGGTAGTAGCGGACCCTGGCCTGGCGCTCATGCCAGTGACTCACGACCCAGCCCACCAGACCTTGTTTCCGGGCCAGCAGCGGGACCAGACCCATGGGGTGGTCGCCAGGGTGTCTCCTAGGATAAAGGTAGCTGTAGGGCATGAAGATGTTGGGGTCGGCCCGTTGAGAAAGCGTCCAGTTGAAGAGGTTCCCAGTCAGGGCCCGCAGCCCCAGGAGAGTGAGAGGGTGACTGGAAGTTCACCCACACCCAGCACTGGCCCGGGGGTCATCTAACACGCGCAGCAGCAGCTCGTCCGCCTGGACCTGGGCACCCCAGGGCAGGGGCCAGTCGGGGGGTCCCCACACCAGGTCGCGGTGGTGGAAAGCACCGCTTGAGCCTTTCGGTAGGCCGCGCGGTCAGTGAGCAGGCGGCACCCGCTGATACTGAAGCGCAGCCAGCAGTTGGGGGCCGGCCTCAAGGCCCGGCCGCTAGCCCCTAGCTCTCCCACCACAGCAGCACGCCCACCAGCCAGCGCAGCGGGGCCGAGGACGCCCAGGGAAGCTGTCCCCAGCAGGTGTAGGCTGCCAGCGCAGTGCACATCAGCCCAGCGGCAGCCAGCGCCTAGGCGTTCCGGGGCAGCCCCCGGCCTCTGAGCCGCCCGCTGGCCAGCAGTCTCCACTGGGCCCTCGGAGCGCGCGGGCACAGCCGCTCGCCGAGCGTCTCGAGCCGGGAAGGGCGCCTTCGGCTCTCGTACTGCCCCTGAGGCTCGGGCCGTCTCCGCCGGTTGCCCACGAAATTTAATCTTACGCCATCTTTCCTCCAGTGTTTGTTTTTGGCCTTTGTCAAAAATAAGATGGCTGAATGTTCCCAGGATTGTTTCTGCATCCTCTGTTCCATTCCATTGATCCATATGTCTGTTTTTGTGCAAGTATTATGCTGTTTTTATCACTGTAGCTTGGTGATATAACTTGAAATCTGGGCTTGTGATGCCTCCTGCTTTGTTCTTGTTTCTCAGAATTGCTTTTGCTATTCTGGATCTCTTCTGGCTCCGTATAAGTTTTTTATTGTTTTCTCTAGTTCTGTGAGGGCATTATTTATTCTTGTACTTGAATGCTTTTCCTCATCTTACTATGTGACCTTTTCCATATTCCTTTTTTATTTTGGAGACAGTATCTTGCTATGTAGTTCAGGCTGGCCTTGAACTCACAGTGATCCTCCTGCCTCAGCCTGGGATTACACCTGGCCATGTTCTAGGTCTAAGAACATAATATAAAACTTTCCATGTTTTTATTTTTGAGCAGCTTGAGTCACTGTTTTCTCTTTGCTAAGGTTGTTTAAGTTACAAGGTTTTTGGTATTAGCTTATACATCTTATGATAATAATTCACTCAGTAAAGACTTGGTTCCCATCCTGTAGGGCATATGAATGTGAGATGGCTCTGTTATCAAATTCAGGGGAGGTGGGCATGTGGCCCAATGATGACAGCATTGCCTGATGGGTGTAGGGTAGAGAGTTGATCTGGTTGTTAAGTTTTGGTGGAAGGAAGGAACAGTCCTTAGGAGATTTGAGGATTCAGGGAGGTAGTGTGGCTCAGTGGTTGCAACGCAGACTCTGAAATTGGCCAAGTTTGACGTTCAGGCAATGTGGCAGTGGTGAGACTATGCTCTAGCCTGAGGCCCTCACCCCTGTACCTGTGCTCAGTTTTCAGGCACTTGGGCTGGTAGGCTTGCAGGAGTCAGTGAGGTACATTGTGGTCCTGAAGAAGACAACTCTCGCCCTCCATCACCTCTCCAGTGGGCACCTAAAGTGGGCGGAGCATCTCCCAGAAAGGTAAGACTGGCCTCTCCCAGGCTATGGGTGCCTCATTCTATTTCCTGTGAGCCCCTCATTCTCCTTGAAGGTCCTGCAGCATTTGCTTGGCCAGGTCTCCCTCATGTTGGTGGTGTGTATGGTGTGTTGTACTTGGTGGATTTGGACCCCTGTGCAAACGCTGTGGCTACACTGCAAGTGTCCTCTGCAGGAGGAAAAATTCTTATACTGGGGCACTAGAGCTGGCCAAGGATGGGAGCTACTTGCATGTTCATGGGCATGGTAACTTGGGGCTTTTCAACATCCAGTTCAAGTTAGATTGAGTCTTTCATTCATATTAATAAATAGAACAAAGAGAATGGGAGGAAAGGAGGGGTAAGGGAGGAAAAGAAGGAAGGAACAAAGGAAGGAAGGGAGGGACTCAAAAAGCCCCTAGGGTAGGGGCTGAGTGAGGCTTGAGAGGGATTTCAGAGGTCCTGATGGTGGAAAGTATTGAAGCTGGGAAGGAACAAGAGGAGGGAAAGGAAAGGATCTCCTTGGACCACCCATGGCCATTTTCAAAGTTTAGGCAGGGATCAAAAGTCAAATTCCTGTGGGGCTGGCTGGGAATTGTAGTGTACCTGACCTACCTCCAGGGGGCAGCCTTAGCTGATGGGTAAGTGGGTAGGCCTGGAGTTGCAACTCTAACATAAGGAAAGCTAGAAATCTGATTTTTTTTTTTTTTGGTACCGGGAATCAAACTCAGGACCTTGTGCTTTCGTGGCAAGTGGCAGAACCACTGAGCTAAATCCCCGGCCCTAGAAATCTGATTTTTATGAGTAACCTCAATTCTAAATGTTGACAGATATTCAAATTAAAAACAAAAGCAAAGCAAAGATGTGGCTCAGTGGTGCTGTACTAGTGACACCTAATATGAGAAAGGGTCTGGGTTTGATCCCCAACACTGCAAAAAAACCCAAAATCAACCCCCCCTCAAAGCCCCAAAAGGCTGGACAATGTGATCCCCCCCCTATAAACCCAGCTACAGGGAGGTTGAGGCTGGAGGATCACATGTCCAAGGCTAGCCTGGGCATCTTAGACTCTGTCTCAAAATAAAAAATAAGGAGCCAGGGATTTAGCTCAGTGGTTTCACCGCCTGTCCCGCAAGCACAAGGACCGAGTTCGATCCCTGGTACCAAAAAAATAAAAAATAAAAAGGACTAGCGATGTAGCTCAGTGGTAGAGCACCACTGGCTTCAACCCCTAGTACTGAAAAAAACAAAACAAAAGCAAAACCCAAAACTGTGAATTAAGCAATACCTGTTTGGGTATGAATACCTGTTTGTGACATCTGGCAAAGGCCTGGCAGCCTGATTTTGGAAGATCCTGTAGGATGTTCCTAGCCACAGGTTAACGCTGTGGCCCCTACTCTTTCTTCCCTCTCTTAGTGACAGCATCCACTATCAGATGGTGTATTCCTATGGCTCTGGGGTAGTGTGGGCCCTTGGCGTTGTTCCCTTCAGCCATGTGAACACTGTCAAGTTTAACGTGGAGGATGGAGAGATTGTTCAGCAGGTATGGGAATGCATCTGGCTTGGGAGCTTTGTGAATGGGGAAGGGAGGGATTGATAGAGTACTTATTTGCACTGGGGCCAGAGAACTTGGATCAGCAGATCAAAAGTGGTTTGTGGTTCCTGATTCTAGTCCCTTGCTGCTGTCTCATCCACATTGCCATGTATTTAAGGTACTTACATTTGCATGAAGTGCTCTTCTATGATGTCTGAAAAATTGTATAGATCTGGTCACTGCCCTTAGGTATTTTCTAAGCACTATTATAAAGTAATTATAGAACATCATATAGTAGACAAACATAGTAGAGAAATACTTACCTGAAATATGAGGTACTTGCAGTTACCTAGTACATTTGTCTAGTGACCAGAAAGAAAATCCTGACTTTTCTCCATCTTTGGAGGCTCTTGGAAGGTTGTTGAGGGTTGGGGCAGTAGGAATCCCTTTGGAGCCAACCATGAAAAGCCTTTGAGCTTAGGACCCTCCTGGCATTGTGGTCGTAATGCTGTTAAGGGGCTGAGAGGGGATATAGAAGTCCCTCGGGAACCTCATGTTCTGATGTCATTCCTGTAGGTCAGGGTTTCAACTCCATGGCTGCAGCGTCTCACTGGAGGCTGTGGTTTGGTAGCAGAGGCTGTCCTGGTGTGCCCTGACCCTAGCTCACGCTCTCTTTATACTTTGGCCCTGGAGACGGAATGGGAACTTCAGCAGATCCCACTGCAGGTGAGAAGCTGCAGCTGCTTTTCCTGGCCCAAGGCATTGCCTGCAGGGCTCAGAATGGTCAGCACAGTTCCCCTGGGGGTCTTTCTCCTGGTTTTGTGGCTTCCTTTTTTAGCTATGCAGTCATGGAGAAAAGAACAGGCCTCTGGCCGATCTGGTATTGGGGAAATAGGCCACTGTGCTTTGGAGAAGCTGAATGGGAGCTTCTGGAGCTTCTGCCCTGGTTTAATTATGTCTCCTGGCAAAGGGGACAGAGGATGGACGCATAGGTGCGTCAGTGACTGGTCAACTGCCTTCCCTAATCCTAATCTGTCTTGTCTCTCTCAGTCTCTTGACTTAGAATTTGGAAGTGGATTCCAGCCTCGAGTGCTGCCCACACAGCCCAACCCAGTGGATCCTTCTCGGCCCCAGTTCTTCCTGCAGTTGTCCCCAAGCCACTATGCCCTGCTACACTACCACCAGGGAACTCTGAGTCTGCTCAAAAACTTCCCCCAGGTAACTGCAGGCAGCGTGGTTGCTAGGTTGTAGGAGGGTCTGGCCAAGACAAGGACCCTAGGAGGCAATGTTTTTAAATCTGGAGAGATTTACTTGTAGATTGATGCTACCATTCCATGAGTGGCTTGAGAGGGGTACTGTGTCACAGCAGGAATGCAACAACCCTTTCCCCCGAGTGTTACAGAGATCTTCAGAGGAAAACTTGCCTTCCTTGGGGATCACAGAAAAATGGGGATGTCAAAGCCCTGCTGTGTATACTCAGTGCAGCATGGAGTTTAGGGTGATCTGTGCCTGTGTTAGAGGGAGTGGAGAGTTTTGTTAGATGCAACAAGGACCTCCTGTGCTGAGATGCCCTGGCTATCATTTCCAAAGTTGGGAGCACTTTGAACTCCAAGGCCAAGAGACCTTCCCAGGAGAGGTGACCATCTGGAAGGCTGCTGGCTAATATAGGCCTCATCTGGGAGTTGACATTCTGCTTCCCCCCAGACTGCCCTTGTGAGCTTTGCTACTACTGGGGAGAAGACGGTGGCTGCAGTCATGACCTGTCGGAATGAAGTGGTGAGTACTGAGAGTAACAGCCAGCATATGGCGTTTTCCTGTTGAGAACCCTGAGTCAGAAGTCTGGGTGTATTTGCCAAGTGAGGTAGAACGCGAGGACAGGAGGCTGTTGCGAGTTGAGTCAGTCCTCTCCTTACCTCTAGAGCTTTGTGCACATCCTCTTTCTTCCCAGGAAGGAGACCTCATTTTGGTGACTGGGGAATGGCCCTTTGGCTGAATTTTCTCTTGTCCTTCTTTTCTCCTTAGAAACCTAGCAGTTCTGAAGATGGGTTCATGGGGAACTTTGTGGAGAAGTCCAGTGCACAGGTAGGTGTGGTATAGGCAGTGTGCCAGCCCTGGGGACACAGGAGATACCTTGAGAAAGCTGTAGAGCAGCTGAGGCTAGTGGGTCTCTTCAAGTTCTCTGTCCTGAGTGGTGCCTAAGTGCTGTGAACTAAATAATGTTTCTTTTCACCCCTTTTCATGGTGAAAGGAGGACGAGAGTCCTTAGAATCTGTTCCTACCCATGTTCTTCCCTGGGCCTCAGTTTCCCCGTTTCTCTGGGGATCCTGGCTGGCAGAGCTGAGTGGTGGTCTGTGCATTTGCACTGAGGCAGAAGCGTGAGGCTCTGGCTAGAGCTTTGGACTTCAGCTGTGGTTTCAACTTGGCTTTGGCTCTCGAGCCTCCTTTTCTTCCTGTCCTTGCTCAGGATCTTACCCTTCTTTTGAAATCTCTTCTGCACTCTGCTTCCTGGCTTCCTTCTAAAGCAAGTGTAGTAATCGTCATTTCCTTTGTTTACTCAGGTACCTCATTTTTCTTTCTTAGGATTTAGCTTTCTTTTTTTATTTTCCTTTACACATATTTCCCTTTCTGGTCCTTCTCTAGGATATTTGCACTGAATCTTTGCACATTGTTTGGGGGAATTTGGGGATCCCTCTAGTTCAGTGGTCCCCAACCTTTTTTGGCACCAGGAACCAGCTTCATGGAAGACAATTTTTCCATAGATGTAGGCAGGGGGAATGATTTTGATATGATTCAAGTGCCTTACATTTAATGTATACTTTATTAGATTAGATTTTTTTTTTCCAGTACCAGGGATGAAACTCAGGACCTTGCACTTGTGAGGCAGGCGCAGTGCCACTGAGCTAATAAATCCTGGCCCTAGATTAGATCTTTATAAGGACTGCATCCTAGATCCCTCACATGTGCCGTTCACAGTAGGGTCTGGGCTTCTATGACAATCTATTGCTGCCATTGATCTGATAGGAGGTGGAGCTCTGATAGTGATGGGAGCGATGGGGAAAGTGATGGAGACCACCTCTAAATACAGAAGATTTGCTTGCCTGCCACTCAGCTCCTGCTGTACCTGGTTCCTAACAGGCTGTGGGCCAGTACCAACCAGGGTTGGGAACCTCTGCTGTACTTGACCACGCTGTGTGTTCTCCCAGGACTCACTGGCTTGCTTCAACCAGACCTACACCATTAACCTCTACTTAGTGGAGACGGGTCGGCGGCTGCTGGACACCACAATTACGTTTAGCCTGGAGCAGAACCATACTCAACCTGAGCGAGTGAGTCAGAGCATTTGCCTCAAGAGTCCATCCTGTGGGCTTCTCGCAATGGGGCTTTTCATCCTCAGGGCTAGGTCACAGTTTGGATCCTGGATAAAAGCCCTCTGGACATGGGTTCTAGTTCTTCCTGAGCCATCAACTGATCATAAATAATAGGAAAAGCAGCTATGGCCTGTGCCTATGTATCACTGTGTGCCAGGCAGAGTGCTCAGCTTTGTGCTTGTGCACTAATTGATGGAACCTTCTCAACAGTCTTGTGATTGTTACTGACCTGGTTTTACAAATGTTACCGTGGCCCAGTGGCATCTGATACCCTATCCAGAATCACAGCTAGTAAGACATGTTGCTGAGGTTCAAGGTCACAGCTGTGTAACTCCACGCCTGCACTCATAATCCTACCCAGAGTCTCTTTAGGGTTATGGAGTTGTGTTTCTTAGCCTCTGGGCTCTGGCTTCTTTATCCCTAAAATGGAAAGTCTAGTCCTGGCCTCCTGCTTGTATCATGGAGCGGGACTGGGGCTTGGATGGATATAATACTAAGTACTCAAGTTTCTTCATGGACAGGTCCGAGAGAGCTCAAGACTCTTGTTGTGTTGGCTTCAGAAAATATTCCTAATCTTATTGTCATCCAGATAATTGGTGTATGTTTAGCTGTTAAATAATGACATGACCGCTAAGAACTCCAAACACTTTGAATCTTAGGAGCTGGGGCTCTGAAAAGCATCTGGATTCTCACTGACTGTTTGGCTTATAGCTATACATCCAGGTGTTCTTGAAGAAGGATGACTCAGTGGGCTACCGGGCCTTGGTGCAGACACAGGACCATCTGCTACTTTTTCTGCAGCAGCTGGGTGAGTGTATCTTATGCAACCCATTTGTATTTCAGCCTGCCCCACATGCTGGTTCTGGGGGGCGGTGGACAGGCTTCTAGGACAGCCTCAGGTGGAGTATACTGTGCATTTCTTTCTTTCTTTTTTTTTTTTTTGTACCGGGAATCGAACTCGGGTCCTTGTGCTTGCAAAGCAGGCAGCTAAACTACTGAGCTAAATCCCCAGCCCTGCATTTCTTTCTTTTGAGCCACATGTCACTTGCTTTTGAGTAAGTTCTTAGGATTTTTTTTTCCCCCTCTAAAATTCTTTATTTTTTTTTATTGGTACATGTTTACAGTATATAATGATTTTATTGTGGGGAGTTGGTACATGTACATATCTCTATTCTTTTTGGATCCCTTCCTCCTTCCCCCAAATTCTTAGCATTTTAGAATAGGGTCTGAACTTTCCTCACCTTACCTATTGATTCTAGCCTGTTGTTCTATTTTTTTTTTTTTAAACAGTCTCACTGTGTAGTGCAGGCAGGCCTCAAGTTCACTATGTAGCCCAGGCCTCGAACTCATGGTGATCCTTCTGCCTCAGCCTCTCAAGTGCTGGGATTACAGATGTGTGCCATCACGCCTGGCTTGTTCTGTTTTTATATGAGAACTGATCCCTGAGCCACCTAGCAGAGTCTCTTCAGAAGGTAGGAGAGGCAGGCTGAGCTCTTGTCCACTGGTTTCCTGCAGCAGGGAAGGTGGTGCTATGGAGCCGCGAGGAGTCCCTGGCAGAGGTGGTGTGCCTGGAGATGGTGGACCTCCCCCTGACAGGGGCACAGGCAGAGCTGGAAGGAGAATTTGGCAAGAAAGCAGGTATGAACCCACGGGGGCTGGACTGCAAAGCTGCTGGAGGGGGTTGCTAGTTAGACACAAGAGATACCCTATGGTGTCCCTGGCTTCCTGGGCACAACCAGTTTGCAAGTCTGTTCTAAGTAAGGCGGTGAGTTTGTAGTGCATTTGTGTCCCTGTGGTTTATGTAATCATTTTTTCCAGCAAAGGAATGAACTCTGAGTCCCTCTAGGGAAGGATATTGAGGCAAAACAAAAAACTCCTTAACTTAGTATGGTAATAGCTGTCATTACCTGAGTGCCTAAAAGTTGTCAGGCACTGTGTCAGGCATTCCACCCATTGTCCCCAAAGCAACAGCCACATGTGCCTTGGGAGACAGGACCGTATTGATCTGTTAATTCTAGAAATAGCCCAGTGCACTCTGAAGCCAGCCACAGTCCCAGTTCCCTGATGAACTATATTTACTCCACTCTGAATCCATCCTGCTTCCCCCATCCCCTCCATCCATTGATCCAGCCACCCAGCAGGTAGTTAAGGGCCTGCCTGGGCCGTGAGCCTTGCTAGCATCTCACATTTTCTTAAGCCAAGGATTAATTTGACTTTACTATTTGTTTCTGCTGCCTGGATCCAGCAATTCAAGGTAAAGCCTGCTTCTTGCTGCCTTGTTGCTAGTTGGCTGTCCACATGACTAGCATTTGGTTGTTTTTTCTGACTTGAGATACATACCACACGTGTGTGAATTGCTCTGCTTATGACTTGTCCTCTCTACTGGTCACTTCTCTTCCTTGAGCTGAGGTTGATGGAAAATAGATAAGCAAAGGTACTACTTATTAGTGAGCACTTAGCCTGAACCAGGCATTGTGCTCAACCCTGTATGTCCATCATGTGATCTGATCTTTGTAATAGCCCTCTGGGTTACATGTCCTTTTACAGATGAAGAAAACAAAAGCATCAAAGTTAATTATATTTCCCAGGGTCACACAGTAGCAAGGAGTGGAGCTGGGATTTTAATCCAGCCATGCAGACTCCAGAGAGCCTCCTCCTTTTACCATGTTACCTTGGGTCTGTCATCAAGTCTGGCCTGGAGATGGAGATTTGGAGGGTGATGGCCTAGTTAATGGTGATGGCCTTAGTTAAGGGATGGAGGGAATGATGACCCTGTGAATGGGTTGCAGGTAGGACTGTTGGGTACAGATTATAGCTGACAAAGTAGGCATGAAACAATGAGAAATAGAAGCACCCCTTTGTGATACATGTGCCTCTGCACTCCCACACCCTCCTGGCTTTGTTGTGGCACCCAGAAGCCTTCCTTTGCCATGCTGGATGTGGGGTTGTGGTGGTGACATTCACAGCATGGCTGCATCCTGCATGGCCAGTCCTTGACCTCTTAGTCTCCCTTTCCTAAAGATTCCAGTGAAGCGAAATCATAAGTGCCAGGTAAGGGGTTTTGGAAGCTTGTGCATGGTCATACCTCAGTTTGAGATTGCTGGCAGCAGACAGACTGCCTCTGGGGCTTGGCGCATAGAGTATAAGTGATCAAAACGCTCTACAGGAGAGGGACATATCTCTCCTTGGGAAAAGCATGTGCCTCCTTGCTGGACACCCAGTCTGATGCAGAGTGCGTTACCATTTCCTGACACCAGACGGCCTGCTGGGGATGTTCCTAAAACGCCTCTCGTCTCAGCTCATCCTACTGCAAGCGTGGACTTCCCACCTCTGGAAAATGTTCTATGATGCTCGGAAGCCCCGAAGTCAGATTAAGAACGAGATCAACATTGACACCTTGGCCAGGGATGAATTCAACCTGCAGAAGATGATGGTGATGGTAACAGCCTCAGGCAAGGTATAGCTATGAGCCCCAGGTACCAGACCTTCTGAAGTTCAGGGAGTGGGAAATAAAAAACTTGGTAGGGGATAGTAGTGCTGGTTCTAGTTTGCAAAGATAGAACCAGTTGTTTGGCTTTTCTTTCTAGTCATGAGCCAAGTATTTGTTTATCTTGCAGCTTTTTGGCATTGAGAGCAGCTCTGGCACCATTCTGTGGAAACAGTATCTACCCAGTGTCAAGCCAGACTCCTCTTTTAAACTGATGGTCCAAAGAACTACTGCTCACTTCCCCCACCCCCCACAGTGCACACTCCTGATAAAGGACAAGGTGAGGCCTTCCATCTCTGACTTGGGCAAGCCACAGTGTAGCCTTTTTGGTGTTTTGCAATTCACATTTCTTCCAGGCCTTTGGAATTATGTGAGTCCCTGAGGAACATTCAAGGGTTAGGACTCTTGTTTCTTCCAGTTTCTTGCCTGGGTGGAGGAGCTATCCAGTGCTAATGCAGAGTTAATCAAAAGCAGGTTTCACTTCAGCCAGCTTTCTTTCCAGTCATAGGCCATTGTTGGTAGTTGAGTGGCTCTTTTCTCTTTTTCTCTAGGAGGGGGAGCAAGACACAAAACTTTACATTCTTGCCTCCCAGAATTAGAATGGATTTTGTGGATCCATTCTATTACTCGGGAGGGGCCTTGGTAGACACTCTTCTGGAAAGGCCATTGTGGGGTTACTGAATTGTACTTGACCTATTTATTTATTTGCAGTATTGGGGATTGAATCCTTTGGACTGAGCTACATCTCCACCTCTTTTTATTTTTTATTTTAAGGAAAGGTCTTACTAACTTGCTCAAACTGGGCTTGAACTTGTGATCCTCCTGCCTCAGCTTCCCAAAGTGCTGGAATTACAGGTGTGCAGCATCATGCCTGTTCTTTGTTAGGTCTGGAGCCAGAGACAGTTTGACTATTCACCTGAAGCCAAGAACTTAATTTTTCCACAAAGAGGGCAATAAATAGGGAATTCCTCCCAGTTGAGCTGAAGTCACAGGTTTCCTGGTTTACCCTTAAGATTGGTGTTCTTTCTGTGTTTGCCTGCCCATTTTAGGAAACAGGAATGAGCTCTCTGTATGTCTTCAATCCCATTTTTGGGAAGTGGAGTCAGGTAGCCACCCCGGTGCTGAAGCGCCCCATCTTGCAGTCCTTGCTTCTCCCAGTCATGGATCAAGACTATGCCAAAGTCTTGCTGTTGATAAACGATGAGTACAAGGTACTGTGTCTTCAGGAGGGTTGAGAATTCAGGCGGAGGTGGCAGGGGATGGGTGGTCAAACAGGTGGCCAACCAGAGGCAGAGTTTGGACTGCAGTAGCACATGTGTGCGCTGGCCCATCCCCCAGAGACATGACTGCTGTGGCTGCCCTTGTGAACCCTCAGGTTCTTCACAGACCTCAATTGAAGCCCTAAGTGGAGTCCATTAGACTGTATTTCCTTTGAGATTTGCTGTTTTATTCTTAAGGGACTCTTTGATGAGGTAGTAATGAATGCTGGGAAACTGGGCTTAGAGTCATGGACTTTGCTTTAACCCTTTCCTTGGGCTTTTTGGGTTTTTAAGGTCACAGCTTTTCCAGCCACTCGGAATGTCTTGCGACAGCTACATGAGCTTGCCCCATCTATCTTCTTCTATTTGGTGGATGCAGAGCAGGGATGGCTAAGTGGATATCGGCTTCGCAAGGTAGGTGTGGGGAGACTCTGGCCAAAGCAGTGACTGAACCTGAGTGCACTGAAGAAGGAACCTTGGGGAACAGTAGTTCCTGTGCTCCTGGATTGTGTGGTTAGAGTTTAGAACAGAATCTGCAGGACAGCAGTCATCAGAGTTAAGAGCAAGTTATTGTCTGAGAGATTTGCTTTGGCTGGTGTGTTCCCTCAGCCCTGATAAGATTGTTTAAACTGGGTGGACATGTGTCATGTTGCAAACCATCCCGTTCCAGCCTTGTCCCCTGACAAAAACTCCTATACAGTATGTTGCAAAATGTTTTTCTTGTACGTCTTTGTTCTCATGTCCTTGAGTTGCAAATGAGTATTGGTTACTGTTTCCCTGAGGCTCTCTGATACCCAACAAATGGCTCCTCTGAGTGCTCAGTGATTGAGTTAAATTTCGCCTCTGACTAATCTTTCTCATCCTCTGCACAGCCACAGTCGCACACTGACAGGTAGGGAAGGGGCGCACTGGCAGGAGTCTTTGTATGGGGGATGTGAGTGTTTCTTGGTTATTTAGCAAAGATACGAACCATGCTGCTAGTCCTGTAGTAAACTTAGGTCAGCATAATCCTGCTGCCTGTTGGTCATGTGTTCTTGTTGTTGGGCAGATACTCCGTGGCACACATGGCAGTAGGTGCCGTAGATAGAGCACTGCATAGTGGCCCATGTCTGCCCACATGGCCTTTTCATCCACACTCCTTTCCTGTAGCCCAGGGAAGGGGCATTTTCTTCCTCTCAGGAGGATGGAAAGTAGCAATGAGGGTTGAATGAAGAGTTGTATTTTTTGGGCCAGGTGTGTAGCTCAATGGTGCTGTGCCTGGCTGGCAAGCTCAAGGTCCTGAGTTTGATCCCTAGTACCAAAAAAAAAAAAAAGAGTTGTATTTTTACACAAAGATGCTATTGACAGGGTCTTGATAGCATGTGTGCTTTGAATTTAATTTTAGGTATGGAGTTGGTTTGCTCTGATGCTGACACACTTGAGCCCAGCTCTGGCAAACAGTGATACACACTGGCTTGGAAGTGCCAGGGGGCTAGCCTTGGCCTTGCTAGCAGGGCTCAGTAGAGGCCTACTGTGTGGTTGCACTCACCAGAAAATCCTTCCCTCCTATCCTGTAAGGCCTTTGAGAGGCAAGACTGCACAGAAGTGTGTGATGAACTTGGAGTCAGCTGCCTGGGCTTGTAGTCGAGCTTTGTCACTTACTTTGTAACCTGGGGCATACTTACAAGTCTCTGGTGCTCTGTTTTCTTGTCAGTTAAGATGGTAACAGTACCTATGTCATAAGGTTGCTATGAGAGTTCAGTGAGTTTTATGTGTAAATCACATAAAATCGTACCTGACACATGGCAAGTGCTACCTGAGTTTGAGCTGTAGTTGTTTTGAAGATGCATTGCCCTTTCCTGACATTTAAAATTTTTTTTTTTTTGTGGTACTGGGATTGAACTCAGGACCTTGCGCTTTCAAGGCAGGTGCAGTGCCACTGAGCTAAATCCCTGGCCTTTCCTGACATTTTTATAGCAGCTAATCTTTAGCATAAACAGCATAGGAAATTGTCTGCCCCTAAAACATTCTTCATCCTTGTAGGTGAAAAACACCCTTTCAGATCATAAAAAAGAGACCTCACAAGAGATAGTTCATTGTAGATGGAAGGGAGCAAAGTGGATGTAGGCATCGTGAATCAGGGGAGTCCAGAAGATTTCATCCAAGTCAGCAGTGACCAGTGGGGAGCAGGCAGCAGAACTTTATGCAGGGCCCAAACCAGGGCCAGGCTTCCAGTCTGACCTCTAGCAGTGTTGCTGCCTGTCCACTCACTTGGCGACCTTATTCTTGTGGGATGTTTTTGTGAGTTCCCAGGTTTTCTAAGAAAGTTATGGCAAAGAATGTTTATTTATTTATTTATTTATTTATTTATTTATTTATGGTACTGGGGATTGAACTTGGGTCCTTGTGCTTGCGAGGCAGATGGTGGAACCACTGAGCTAAATCCCCTACCCAAGAATGTGTATTTTTAAAAATTAGTACCATTTTTATTTTAAAATTCACATAACTAATACATGAATCTTCTTACTATAAAAGATTTCACTCATACGGAGGTACACAGTCAAGATGTGGGAAGACCCTTGTAGTACCATCGCTGGCTAAATCCATCAGCCATTTGCCATGCCTTTCCCTGTCATTTCTGTTCATTTATTTAAGTCCTGGAGATTGAACCCAGGGCCTTCACACTGAGCCACATCCCCAGCCCTTCCTTTTTTTATTTTGAGACAGAATCTCGCTAAGTTGTCCAGGCTGGGCTCAAACTTGCGATCCTCTTGCCTCAGCCTCCCAGGGTGCTGAGATCACAGGTGTGCACCACTACACCCAGTCTTTCTGTGAATTTGTAACCATGTTAGCAGCTGTATGGATACATACATTTGTGTCTTATAAAATTATTTTCTTGCTCAAAGGGAATTGACCTATGTTTATTTATTTATTTAGGTTCTTTGCTTAGTACATTTTCTTGTCTCAGTATTTTGTTCAGAACAACCCCTCTGTGGAACTGGAGATTGAATCCAGGAATACTTTACCACTGAGCTACATCCCAGTCCTTTTTATTTTTTTGTTTCTTTGAAACAGTGTCTTTTACTAGGTAGTTCTGCCTTAGACTCACTGTATAGCCCAGGCTGGCCTCAAACTTGTGGCAGTCCATCTGCCTCAGCCTCTTGAGTGCTGAGGTTCTAGGCATGTGCCATCAGACCTGGCTGTATTTTATTTTTAGTTAGGGTCTTGCTAAGTTGCCCAAGTAGTCCTCAGGCTTATGCTCTTCCTGCCTTAGCTTCCCAAGTGCTGAAATTACAGGCATGTGGTATTGCCTCTGGTTTAGAAACCCAGTTTTTATTAGAGTAAAGTACACAATCATGAGGTTCAGTGAACCTTCTATACACTTGTGTCCATGGCAGGTCAGGAAGCGAAGCACTACTAGCATTGCAGAAGGCTCTGGGCCGCTATCCTGAAGGGTACCATGTATCTCCGTAGTATGGACAGAGAATGTGTTGAACAGTTAGTGTTTTTCCTGTACTGACAGAACCATGTAGGAAATGTTTGAAGGTCCCTGCTAGCTTAGTAATCACCATTGGCCATGGTGTACAGGTACGCTAGATTTTATTTATAAATGATGAGTTTTCCTTGGATCCTTCCTCCTCAGATAAACAATGGGATACTGTTGAGTATTCTTTTCCTGTCTTGCTGGTTTTAGTATCTTTCTTAATCAAACTGAGAGTTCTAAACTTCTTCATAAGCCAGAACTATATTGTTATTTTTCTAACAGTTCTGGTCTTACTCCTTCTGGCACAAAGGCCTCAGATGCTAAACTGTTGGACATGTCATTTACGGCTGTCTCAGGTCTGTGTGTGCCCTCCTGTTCACAAGTGCTTTTGCCCTTGCCCTAGGATCTCACCACTGAACTGAGCTGGGAGCTGACCATTCCCCCAGAAATACAGCGGATCGTCAAGGTGAAGGGGAAGCGCAGCAGCGAGCACGTCCATTCCCAGGGCCGGGTGATGGGGGACCGCAGTGTGCTCTACAAGGTATGGCACAGCTGTTGCACAGAGCAATTAGGGTTTGAATTTTGGCGCTAGGATTTTGTAGATATATGATCATGGGCAAGTCATTTAATCCCTTGGAACCTTAATTTATTGTCTGAGAAGTGGACTTTTTTTTTGGTAGTAGTGGGGACAGAACCCATGGGCTCCCTCATATTAGGCAAGTGCTCTGCCACTGAGCTACACCCTCAGCCTGGGCATAACGCATTCCTATTGTATAGTTGTTGGAATGATCACAGGAAATACTCATGCTTTGCCCACTGCCTGGCATATGTATGGTAACTACCTGATAGGTGTTAGTTCTTAGTAGTAGTGGTAGTAATAATGCTAATATACCCTTCTGGAGTTAAACTTTAGTCAGTCTGTCAGAAACTCCATCTTGGCTTGGGGGTATAGTGACAGAGCATTTGCTTAGTGTCCACAGGGCCCTCCCTCAGTTTGATCCCCAGCACCACAAAGAAAAACAACAACAAAAAGAGATTCCGTGTCTATGATCCAGCACTCAAATTAGTGGTAAAGGGAGGGAAACAGGTGACTACTGGGCTGCCTAGGAGATAGACTGTAGTTGTGGTTGGAATGAACATTAATTACTGACAGCAGAGACTGTGTGAAAAGTGGGGTAATAGGATAGGGTAATGAGACCATGGAAGTTGACAGAGAGCTGCTGTACCAAGCATTAAGCAGTGCAGAGTGCAGGCCTTGAGTTGGACTGTCAGGTTCAGACTTGGCCCTGCTGTGGCCTAGCTGTTCATTACTGGTGGTTTACCTGGGCCACCTACATTTCTATTTTCACCAGTATGATGTGGCTAACAGCACTGACTTCCATAGACTCTCTTCAAGATTAAACAGAACATGTGAAGTGATTAGAATATTGCCTGCCATTTAGGTAACATTAGACCTATTGACTTGAATTTTTTTTTTTTTGGTACCAGGGATTGAACGCGGGTCTTTGCGCTTGCGCAGCAGGCGGGAAACCACTGAGCTAAATCCCCGGCCCTTGAATTCTTTTCTTTTCTTTTCTTTTCTTTTCTTTTCTTTTCTTTTCTTTTCTTTTCTTTTCTTTTCTTTCTCTCTCTCTTTCCCTCCCTCCCTCCGTCTTTCTCTCTCTCTCTCTCTCTTTCTTTCTTTCTTCTGAATTCTTTATTGATGAACATCTTCCATGTGGTAGCAGTTAATTTTAGCTTATTTAGAATGACCAAAATAATACAAATTCGAAAGTAAGTTTCAGGCTGGGGGATGAGGTTCAGTGGTAGAGTGCTTGAGGCCCTGAATTAGATCTCCAGCACCATGGACCCCCCCAAAAAGTACAAAGCAATATAAAATTTTTTTAAAGTTTTAAAAGGTTTGGGCCAGGGATGTAGCTCAGCAGTGCTGCACCTGCCTGGCAAGTGCAAGGTCCTGAGTTCGATTTCTGTATGGGGGCTTAAAATTTTTTAAAAGTTCATATTAATTTGTACTAGAAAACATACACTATATGTAATTTTACCATTCCATGGTAAAATGAGAAGTAGCTAGGAACAAGGCTGTTAAAATTCATATTTATTTTAAAAAACAAAAAAAATTCATATTTATTATGCAAATACTCAAGGTTATTCTTTTTCAAATAAACTTTTTTGTTTTGATTGTAGAATTAGAGAAAAATTGTGGTAGCTGGGTGTGGTGACACATACCTGTAATCTCAGCACTTGGGAAGCTGAGGCAGAAGGATTGCTGTAAGTTCAAGGCCTTCCTTGGCTACATAGTTCAAAGCCAATCTGAACTACATAGTGAGATGCTGTCATGAAAAACTCAAGAAAACAAAACAAACTAAAAAACTCCTGGAAAAGTTGTGGATATAATGCACGGAATTTTTGTATCCCTTTTCCTAGTTTGCCTATACAACTATAGTACATTTGTCTAATCTAGGAAACCAACATTAGCACGTGACTGTTTAACTAAATTCCAGACTTTATTTAGGTTTCACCAGATTTTCCACTGATGCCATTACTTTAGACTGTGATCATACATTGCATTTAGTTGTCAGGCCTCTTTAGTCTCCTGTAATCTGAGATAGGTTTTCAGTCTCCCCTTGTATTTTATGACCTTGATAGTTTGAAGAGTCCTAGTGAGGTGTTTTGTAGAATGTTTCTCAATTTTGGTTTGTCTGATGGTTTCCCATGGTTAGACTGGTTTTTGACTTTTAGAAGGAAGGCCACATAAGTAAAGAAGAGAGTCCTAGTTGGATGTGACATGTTCTTTTTAGACAGTGGAATATATCAGTGAACGAAACAGACAAAACTTCTGTCTCCTGCAGCTTTCATTGTTGTTGGGAGAGGCTAATAATGAAAACAATAAAGACAGATTACCAACCTGGGCTACTTAGTGAGTTGAAGGCCAGTCTGAACTACAAAGCCACAAACAAAAATGCAGATTACAGAGTCACTTAGCAGAGGTCCAGTTCTGTAGGGAAAAATAAAGCCTGAATAAGGGAGAGAGTGAGCAGACTAGATAACTGGGGAGAGGATGCAATTTAAAACTGGTGGCTAAGGAGGGCTTCGCTGAGAAAATGCCCCTGATGTTCAGGCTTGGGGTGAGGAAGTGGGCTGTGGGTACCTGGGGGAAGAGCCTTTTGAACAGAAAAGCCAGAGCCTGCCTGGGGCCTTAGAGAAACAGCAAGGAGGGCCATGGGATGGGAGCTGGGTGAGTGGCTAAGGAGAGGCATGGGGGATGCTGAGGTCAGAGGCGAAGGACTAGATCACACCAGGCGTCACTCTGGCCTTCCCTGGGAGTGAGAGGAACAGCCCAATCACTGGGGAGTTTTGATATAAATGGCTGAGATTTAACCTTTAAATGAGGTTCATTTGGCTTTGACTATATCTGCCCAAGGAGGAGAGCAGGAAGACCAGTGAGGCCATTGTAGTAATGCAGGCCAGGTGATATGGCTGGAACTAGGTTGGTAGTGTGGAGTTGGTGAGGAGGGATCGGGTTCTGGATACTTTTAAAGGTAGAGCCAGTAGTGCCCCTCCCCCCACCTTGGACGGGGAGCTTGTGCACACGCGTGAGCTTGTGCACGCGCATGTGCACACACACTAGGGAGAACAGTCAAGGGTAATATAGACAGTGTTGCTTTGTGCCAAAGACATAGAGAGTTCCCGCTGACTAGGTGGAAAGCCTGAGGCAAGGCAGGCTTAGGCAGCTAGAATAGTTCCTTCAGCCTGGGGCATTGGAAGTATAGCATATCTAAGGGGAGGGACCCTCATGCCAGGAGTCTAGCTTGTGTCCGTAATTTTGGCACTGCTGGCACCCATAAGTACTGGTAGAACCATGAAGTTTGCTGAGGTCACCAGAAGGTGGGTGTTGATAGAAATGCTCAGCGCCAGTTGGACACTGTGGCACATGCCTATAATCCCAGAGAGACTATAATTCTGAGACTGAAAAAGGAGGATCACAAGTTTGAGCCCATAAGCAAGACCTTGTCTCAAAATAAAAAATAAGAAAAGGGCTTGGAATGTAGCTTAGTATGAAGGCCCTGGGTTCAATCATTCAATCCCTACTACTGCAAAGTAATAAAATAAAAAGAGAAATGCCCAGTGTCTGAGTGCTGGCTAGTGTGTTGTATCATGAAGAGATACAGATTGGGGAGATGTGGAGGACCCTCCAAAGATGGAGGATTGGCCTGAAAGTCTAGAGGGAAACCAGGGGCCACTATCCTGGATGCCAGGTGCAGAAAGTATTCCATAAGAGTGTGCTCCCGTGTCACATGGTACTCGTAGGTTGGGTAAGATGAGGACCAACACTCATCCTTTAGAGTTAGGAAGGAGGAAGGCACTGCTGACTGGGATGATTGGCTCTGGCCAAGAGAAGTGACATTGCTGGAGCTGTGTCCTTAGGTCCTGGGTGGTATACCCAGGGCTTGTTTCACAGGCTTTGTGACTTGAGAAGCTGCCTCACTACTCTGATTTCCTCATCTGTAGAATATGGATATTAACAGCCTCTTTACACGGTCTTGGAAAGGGAATAAATGCAACATAAGGCACCTAGTGCACCTCCCAGGCCCCAGGGACATAAACCAAGTATGGGGATGAGAAATGACACTGGAAGCTCTTCTGACCAGAAGCCCTGGTTTCTCTGCTAGGCCAGTGAGCTCCAGGTTGTCCTCAGGCCCCACGCTCACAGTGGAGCCAAGTATGAAAGAGTTTTTCTCTCTCATCAGAGCCTGAACCCCAACCTGCTGGCCGTGGTGACAGAGAGCACGGATGCGCACCATGAGCGCACCTTTATTGGTGTCTTTCTCATTGATGGTGTCACAGGACGCATCATTCACTCCTCGGTGCAGAAGAAAGCCAAGGGCCCTGTCCACATCGTGCACTCAGAGAACTGGGTGGTGGTAAGGAGTTTCTGTTGGGAACACAAAGTCACTGAGGAGGTCTTCCAGTTTAAATCCTTTCCAGAAACCTAGTTGCTGCTTTTGTGTCTTCATAGGATCCCAAACCTCCTGGAGGGCAGCCTAGGGTCTGGTTAAGGGTGAGGCCCCAAAATCAGATTGTCTAGGTTTGATTTTAGCTCTTATTCCTGACTGTCCAAACTTGAAGCAGTTATGTGAGCTCTCTGTGTTGCATCATTGGTGAAGTAGAGATAATAATAGTAACCTCCAGTCTAGCCCAGAGCAATGCCTGGCACTTGGTAAGCTGCAAAGGGTAGCTGTTATGACTTCTAAGAATATTGAGAATTCCTGTGTCACACGGCAAACTTTGGGCAGCCTAGACAAAACTACCTGGAATGTTAGTAAACTTGGGAAACAGGAAGGAAACTGGGGTGGAAACATGATTTTGTTCTTCCCTGAATCTGTAGCCAGTTTGCGAAGTGCCTTCCAGTGTAAACTCCCCTTTCTAGTTGAACCTGAGGTACCTCTCTGTCTCCTTGCAGTACCAGTACTGGAACACCAAGGCTCGGCGCAATGAGTTCACGGCCCTGGAGCTCTACGAGGGGACTGAGCAATACAATGCCACTGCCTTCAGCTCCCTGGACCGCCCACAGCTTCCCCAGGTCCTTCAGCAGTCCTACATCTTCCCTTCCTCCATCAGTGCCATGGAAGCCACCATCACTGAGCGGGGGATCACCAGCCGACATCTGCTTAGTGAGTGTTGGGAGGAGGGCTCTGGGGTGACCAGATTCCCTCAGCAGTGACACTGAAGGGCAGGGGCCATATTGCCAGCAGAGCCGTTTGAGTACCATAGGGAAAGGTTGGTGAAGAGGGCTCTATTGAAGTGGGGAAAGTCTCTTCATTCAGCTTTGCCTCCTATGAAGATGACCACTTTCTCTTAGTTGTCACTTCTGATGAACTGCTTCCCTTCTTTGGTGTTCTCACCTTGCTCAGAAAATTGATCCTTGCTACCATTGTTTTTTTTTTTTTAGAAAGACTGAATCCTATTTTATTAATGACAACTTTATCAAACTGTTAACTTCCTGATTTTTTTTATTCATATATGCTTGTGATACATAATAATTACATTTATCTTTGGGAATTGGTACGGATATGTATTGCATCTGAATCATTTTTATCCTCCCCCCATATTATTAATATAGCCTGTACTTGTGTAGAAACTGGCAAGATCTCATCCTATTTGGTTTAAGTTCAGGACTCAGGGAATGTGTTTAACAGGCTCTTTGCCTACTTGATTTTAGCAAAAACATGTGGGACTCTCAGCTTTGACAGACACTTGATATCACTGTTTTGTTGTCAAAATGTGAAGACAAAATGGCTTTGACCGCCATTACCGACACTGGTGCTGTCTGGTGCTGCCTGGTCCTCCACATTCACACTGCCCCAGTGGTGCTCACTGCCTGAATTTGCTTAATGGGGGTCTTGCTTTGTCAGAGCAGTATTACTGGGGGAAGGAGGGATGAGAGGAGATCCAGAAATGTGCCTTCCATACTCTGATCTTTCATTGTTACCCATAGCTCAAGGGTTTAAAGTATTTTTAAAATTTTTATTAGTACATGTTTGCACTACACAATGATTATATTCATTGTGGGGAGTTGGTACATGTACCTAATATACCTTAATTCTTTTTTTTTGGTCTCATCCCTCACCTCCCTGTATCTTGAATCTTACACCTTTTTTTTTTTTTGGTGGTACTGGGGATTGAACCAGAGCCTTAATACTGAGCTACCTCCCAAGCCTTTTAAATTTTTTTATTTAGAGGTGAGGACTAAGTTGCCCAAGCTGTGCTTAAACTTGTGATCCTTCTGCCTCAGCCTCCCAGAGTGCTGGATTAACAGGCATGCACTGCTATACCCAGCTTTGAGTGTTAAACTTTATCTTTTGATCTCTTGGGGTGATGTATGAAGAAGCTGGTATCTTCAAAAGTGGGAACTTTCATTCAGACCCATGCATATTATTTGATTACTGTTTTGAATACTGAAGGGAGCCTCACTGATTGGGGGGGTTGTTTTAAACTCTATGTTTAAGATTTTTGTATAATTATATTTTGGTAACTGGTCCTCATGTGGAATTAGTTAAGTGTGAACATTCCCTTCTCCCTGTGCAGTTGGGCTACCTTCCGGAGCAATTCTTTCTCTCCCTAAGGCCTTACTGGATCCCCGGCGACCTGAGATCCCAACAGAACAAAGCAGGTAAGACCCCTGTAGGCAGGGCTGGAGGCTCTGACTAGGGAACTAGACCTCACTTATGCGCTTTGGTCCTTAAGTCTGGCTTCATGGAGCTTATGTTCTGGTAGGAAACAGACAATAAATGACATGCTGTTAGGTACCTGTAAGCTAAGGAGAAAAATAAAATACAGGGATGGGCTATGAAGATATGAGGAGAAAATATGCATGGGTGACATTGAGATCCGGTGGCTTAGAAAGCCCATTTGAGAAGCAGCTTGGGTCAAGACCTGCAGGAGGTGAGGGAGCTGGCTGAGTGATATCTGGGGAAAACTGCACAGGCCGCAGGGACAGGCAGCACATAGGCCCTGACATCATATTTGTTGAGGACAGGGCTGTGTGGCTGGAGCAGTGGTGGAAACACTGGGAAATGAGGTTATGGAAGTCCTGGTGGTCAAATCATGTGGGGAGGCCAAAACTCGTACGTAGCAGTGTTAACTTCTGTGTTTCACAACCACCCTCTGAGTATTTTCTCATCTCTGTCCTGAAAGCTGTTATGGCCATGAGAACCATGGGCAGTGGGAGGACAGAGCAGGCTCATTGTGGGCCCAGGTGGAGCAGACAGCAGTGTGGTTTGGAGCACTGCACGAGAAGGCATTGAAGCTGGGAAAAGGTGGGATGATGACCGGGCTTTCAGAGGAAGGGGATGGGAACACTTAAGAACAGGAGTTGGCCTTGTGGACCAGAGTGTTGGCTTGAAAATGGCTCTTTCTTCTTACGGTGTGAAATGCCAGTCAATTGGATCATATTATTTCTTTTCAGGTAGGCATTCAGATCTCAGCTTTACTATCCAAACACCCTTCTTTCCTGCAGTCCTTCCTAACATTCAGTTGCTAAATTTTTAACTACCTAATGCAAGTAGACCTCGAAGGTGATTTGAGGTTAGGTATGTGTCCGGGAACCCTCCAGAGACCCAGAAGGGCAGCCAGGAGATCCTTTTACAGCAGCTCTCAGAGTGCCTATCCCTGCTGGTGTTTTGCAGAGAGGAGAACCTAATCCCCTATTCTCCAGATGTACAGATCCACGCAGAGCGATTCATCAATTATAATCAGACTGTCTCTCGAATGCGCGGTATCTACACAGCTCCCTCGGGCCTGGAGTCTACATGTTTGGTGAGTGAAGCCCACACCAGCCTTTATGGTAGCTGCTCTTCATTTCATTCTTGGGAGAACAGCTTGGGATCCCATTTCCTTCTTTACCTGAGTCTGAGGTTGTGGTGGCTCACTGGCTGCTTTTCTTCCTGATTCTCATTCCGTTTGCCTTCCAGGTTGTAGCCTATGGTTTGGACATTTACCAAACTCGAGTCTACCCATCCAAACAGTTTGATGTCCTGAAGGATGACTATGACTATGTATTGATCAGCAGTGTCCTCTTTGGCCTGGTTTTTGCTACTATGATCACTAAGAGGCTGGCACAGGTGAAACTCCTGAATCGAGCTTGGAGGTAGACTGAAGACTCCAAGCCCAGTGGAGAGCTGTGGTAGCTGAGGTGCTACACCTGTGGTTTGGCAGATTGGTGGAATGTGTGTGCTGGGTTCTGCTGTCTGTTGAGTTGGGGAAATGCGGACCTTAATGTAGAACTGCTTTTGAGACACATGATGCACGATCCTGTGGATAAAGACTGAGCTCATTCACCCCAGCTGAGGATCTCCAAGCATCTGATGGACTTTCCCCCAAAGTCTGGGGCCACTGCCATTTCCTTTGCCCATCCATGAAGACCTCTAACTGAACCATGCGTAGTGACCCACCATTGTAATCCCAATACTCTGCTAGGTTGAGGCAGGATGATTGTAAATTTAAGCTCAGCCTGGGGAACTTAGTGACTTAAAGAGACCCTGTCTCAACATTAAAAGGGGCGGGGGTGCTGGAGATGTACCTCACTGAGAAGGCCTGGCATGGGTTCAATCCCCAGTACAACAAAACAAAGCAAAACCCAACTGACTTTTAAAAAAACTTTTATTGGTACATGCTTACAGTACATAATGATTACAATCATCATAGCTGATTTTTATTTTTTCCTTTTTTTTTCAGTGCTGAGGCTCAAACCTAGAGCCTCATGCAAGCTAGATAAGTTCTCTAACAACATTGAGCTACATCCCAAGCCTTGATGTTTCTCTTGTTTTTTTCCCCCAGTACTGGGAATCCAACTCAGGACCTTGCACTTGCCAGGCAGGTGCGGCGCTGTTTCTCTTTTGCAATGCATGTTTAAATTGATTTTCGTTTGCCTTTTGTGTTTCCCAGTCTTATTTAGAAATCCTGATTTTTTCCCTGTCTCTTGCTTCAAAGTCGGTAGGGAGCTTCTGTTGCCAACTTTACCTTGTAGGTGCATTTGCTACTTGACCTTGGTGGATGGGGAAACACAAGATCTTTGAGATGGTCTTGTTATGTAGTTCATGCTCACCTTGAACTCACTGTGGAGCTCAGGCTGGCTTCAAATTCAGTGATGCTCCCACTTCAGGTTCCTGAGTACTGGAATTACAGGTATGTGCCACCACACCCAGCCCTTGTGTTCTCATAAGATTGAGCCACCCAGTCCTCAGTTTATCAGAGCCAAGTTCATATAGCATCTTGGTTTGCTGGATATTGCCTGTGTGTTTCTCCTAAGATGTGTCAGAGCAAAGGCCTTTTTAAAACTACTGAGTTTTCTGAACCTGAAGAGATTTCAGTCTCATTTTGTCCACAGGCTGGCCTAGTTATCATACAACCCAGGGAAAGATGCTCTTAAGGACCTTATTTATTTTTAGTTTTGCGTGCGTGTGTGTACGCATGCGTGTGTGTGTGTTGGGGGATGAATGCACAGCCCCATGTGCTCTACCACTGAGCTATACTCCCCAGCTAGGTGTAGGTATAAATTAATGTCATTATATTTCCTTTAAAATGAGCTGACTTAAGGCTCTACTGATCTTTTTTGAGTGTGGTGCTAGGGATCAAACCCAGGGCCTCACACATGCTAGGCAAACACTCTACCAATGAGCTCCATTCCCGGCCCTGGATCTAACCTTTGAAGCTTAAACGAGAGGAGAAAAATGGTCCGGGTAGGAAACTGGCCTCTTGTGGATTCTGCATTGTTCACTGGCTGGGCTGCTGAGTCCTTGCTACAAATTAAAGGAAGCCTAAAAAAGATTTTCCTTGTTCGTGGATTTGGGAGATCAGAGGACTTTTGCTGTGACTCTAGCCCTGTGGTGAGAGGTACTGTGTGACAGAATAAAGTAAAAGATGAATGATTCTGACCTAAGTTCTTTTTGCGTCTTAGGAAGATCACTCAAAGTCTGCTTTTACATTAGAAGAAAAAGTGCAGAAATGGAGTGCATTTAGTAAGGAAATGTGCCAACGTATTGTATGAGTTGGTTCAGATTACTTAAAAACAAAATTGTTTCATCTTTCTGTGTTCATAGGCTGATGTAGGTTATGGCACAGAAGGAAGAAAACTGAGTTGTTTTATTTTAGAAATAAAACTGTCAAATGGTGTTTATAAAGGAACGAACATCTAAATTATCTCCAGAAAAAAACAGGCACCTTTTCATCTTGACTCAAGGCATACTTTGTATAATGTGACCTGGGAGAAGGGAATTGGTACAAGTTAAAAAAATTTGCCCTAGTTTTGAGATAGCCTGGCTGGAGTTTTAACATCATCAGCTATTGTCTTGCTGCCTGTTCTGCTTGCACAGCCCAATTTGCAAGATTATAGTTTTCATTTACCTATGTGCTGGAATCTCAAAGAAGCAGCTAGTGGGAGGGAAATTACTTGCCCTTTCATGAAATTCCCTGTATTTTGGCTTTAATCATTACCATTTCACTGTAGATTACCTCAAAGCAGGTGCTTAAAATAGCAAATGCCAAGTCTTGACTTAGGTCTTGGCCTTCTTGTTGCTGGTATTGGCGTTGAACTCAGGGCCTCATGCATACTAGGCAAGTGCTCCACCACTGAACTCTCCACAGCCCCTCCTATGGCTTTTGAGAACATGTTTCCTCAGGTCTCCACTCCATTTGCTTTTTTTTTTTTGTCTTTTACTGTGCATATCCCTCGAGCCCTCTCTTCATTAATTAGGTTAATTTGAGGGCCCCCTACAATGTTTCACTTAGAACAAGTGATTCCTCAGTATTTTCTAGGGCAAGTTCTAAAGTTAGTTTGATCATCATACTAGATCTTTTGGCACAAAATTTTGCAACTAATACTACTTTATGATCTCAGTCCTTGTTGGAAATAAAGTGGTTTGTGGCTTTTGTTTTTTTCTTCCTAGTCTTTGACTTGCAATAGGAATCAATTATTGAGGTATGTGCATGAATTAAATGCAGAATTCCAGCTAGAAGGCTGGGGATGCAGCTCTATGTGAAGATCTAATGTTCAATCCCCTCATCAAAACCCCAAATCCCCAGTTTTATAACAGAAGATTCAGAGTTGGTAAGAACTTCTTTCTAAAAAATTGAATGAGTTTTGTGTGTACCTACTTCCTCCCACTTGTTAAGATGGTAGCTTATTGATTTAATGTCACTTTTGTAAGAGTTTGATACCTTTTCTTAACCTCCCGAAGGAAAGAAATGTAAGCAAACTTATATGCAGATCATGTGGTTTTATTGCCATATACTAGGGATGACACTAATAAACTGACTCTGTAATTTAACAACTACTGAAATTAGTTAAACTTTTCTGGAACCCAAATAATTTGTTAAATCTCCAATATTTATTTTGTTTAGATCCACATTTCCAAATTGTGAGTTAATTTATTTGGCTTTTGTACTGGTCATCTTTCCTGTCACTGGGACACGATACCTGACACCCATAACTTAAAGGAGAGGTTTAATTGGCTCATCGTTTCAAGGCACTGAGTCTGTGGTTGGCTTGCTCCTCTAGGACAGGAACATCATGGCGGAAGGGCATGGTGGAGCAAAGTGGCTCACTTCTTTGGGGCTGAGAAACAAAACAGGGAAACTGCCAGAGAGGAAGAGGTGAGCAAACAGATGTAGACTAGGCTCCATGACCCACCCAGACTCACCCAGAAGTGTGCTCCATTAAAGCCCTGGGCAGCTTCTGAGCCAATCAAGTTGTCAATCAAGCTTAACTATTACAGCCTTCTGTGGGATAGAGTTCTGGGCCTTGTCCACTCTGGTTTGCACTGGAACAGGTGTGAAACTTCTTGAAAGCACTCATTTAGTCTCTGTTAAGCCATACATCTTGTCAGTCTCTGGCTTCTGTAGGAGAACATGTACTCCTCTGCTTTAAGGATTGCTAGGTTGTATAACTAGTTGGTTTTTTTTGCAATGGGAATTAAACCCAGGGTCCTTGCACTGAGTTGTATCCTTAGCCTTTAAATTTTTTTGAGACATGGCCTTGCTAAGTCACTCAGTTGCCAAGGTTGGGCTCAAACTCACAATCCTCCTGCTTCAGCCTCCCACAGTGCGGGGATGACAGGCATTCACTGCCATACCCAGATAGTGGTGCTTAATGTAGATCTCAGGAGGGGTATGGTGATATATACCTGTCATCCCATCTACTCTGCTCCTTAGGCCGAGGCAGGAGGAGCATAAGCTCAAGGCCAACCTTGGCAAGTTAGGTAGATCCTGTCTCAAAAAGGGGGGTGGGGATGTAGCTCATTGCTCCCTGGGTACAATCCCCATACTGGGCAAAAATAAAAAATGTAGATCTCAGTATCTTACCTTATTAAAAAAAGCACCTACTAAGAGATTAATAATAATGAAATAAAAGAATTTTAAAAAATCTCTTAGGGCAACAACTCAGATGAAATTGACATATTTATGTATAAATAAAATCTCCTTTTCTTCATATTGCTAAAATTGACCCCTAGATTAAGGGATACCACCAGGGAGCTAGCTGTGCACCTAGGTAGAAGAGGAAGGACTATCGACAGCTTATCCTCAGGGATGGACCTCAGAATTTATTTGGTGCAGTCTTTATTTTAGGGGTGCTGTCAGTGAATTGTCTATCATTGCACCTACAGGACTCGTGGAAAACACTGCACTCTGTTCTCAGTATCAGAAAGAGTTGTCTCAGGTTATTTACTCTTAAAAATCTTTTTGTGCTGGGCAACGTGCTGCATACCTGTAATGCGAGCACTCAGGAGGCTGAGGCAAGAGGATCATAAGTTTGAGGCTAGCCTGGGCTATACAGTGAGACTTTGTGTCTCTAACAAACACCTTCTTATTTTCTTGATTATAAATAGCATGTTATTATTATAGGTTTAACCACTTACCAGTCAATTATTTAAATAGGGGATGACCAAAAATGGCATTATTTTTTTGTTGAGTTTTCTAACAGGAAATATAAAAATGACAATCTTATTGAATTTGTTCAATAATTTTTCTGTATATGATAGATACACCTTAAAATATTGAATACACAACACATTACAATCTGGACAGTAGTATCTAGTCTTTCTGAATTCTTTTTGTATTATTGTCTTTCTTTGAACAACATACTTTACACTGTCATGTTGGTCTTTTTTTCCTGTGGGTGGTATTTCAATAAAATGTCTACCCACTAACTGTAACAGTGAAGATGTCGATGATGGACATCCTGGTTGGTGTTTTGCTATCCCATAATTTTTCATTTATTTGATCTATTAGATCTAATCTAAATTGTAAATTACTTTTTGGACCCCTTTATTTTGCATAAATAACAAATGGGTTCCATACTGTTTGGTCCAGAAGTACATAAATATTTTACATTTTTTTCCTTTGCTCTCTGATTATAGAATAGCTTGTTAGATGTTGGTCAGTGCTACCCAGAGAATTAGTAAAATCATTGACCACTATTGGAATTTTAAAAATTTCAATTTTCTTTCAAGTTCTGTCATTTCTGTATCATGAATAGGTGACAATAAGGAGACATCTTTTTGTCTGTCCATTTCATAGCACAGACTTTTCCTCTCTGATATGCTAACATTTCTCCCCTTTTCAGTTTTTTCTTTTGCAGATCTTTTGGCACTTCCTTCCTATCAGTCTCAGTGTCCCAAATGTGTCTGTTTTGTATTGTAAAAGAATATCACTGGAGAAGTATAAAAATTATCTGTAGTAAGACAGTGTCCCGAGTTCAAAAGTGGTTTCATCAGAGTCAAAACAATTCTTGTACCCATGGAATAATCTTTATAGTGGTTATCAAGTAATGTGCCCTTTACAGGGTCAATTATGAAAGACCAAATATACCCAGATTTGGATTCACAAAGCATGTAAGATTTGATACCAAAGCTAGCTCTTTTTAGGGGCATAAAGCGAATCCATCCCAGTTGACACCTATACAGGATTAGACTTGTCAACTGTGATGTCTCTCTCAAGTGTAAGTGCAGTAGAAAACTTTTTATTGAGATGTTCAACAGTTGGCCATAACTTATTTAGTTTAGGTGAGCACTACCATCAAAAGTAGACTTATCTACAAAATGAATATAATGTTTCAATAATGCAAACCGTTTATATGACATCACTTTACTGAAAAAAGGTGTTTCAATGCAATCTTTCTTATACCACTCACATATTGGCTTACATATAATTCCTTGAAGAATATGGAGAGCAAAAAAGATAAACATTTCTGCATTATCTGTTGGTTTCAGTCCTTCCAGAGTGAAAATTTCCTTAAAATTCCAGAAGGCTTTGATTGATCTGCATATGTTAGTTTCCATTGTAATCAAACCCATTATTTCAGAATTCCAGAAATAGTCAAAGTAATGTAAAATACCTGGCTCTGTATCTTGTCTAAATGATAAATTTACACCAGGTGTACTGGTGAATGCAAACTTAGGAGGAGCAGGCATTGGATTTTCCAAATTCACCTCAACAAATTCCTTGAATGATGTGAAATCTTCATTCTTGGAATGAAAATCATCATCTGATTATTATGAAAAATAATCTTTGGGTTCGCTATCACTTCTTGATTTACTAATCAATAATTCCTCATCAGTATCATCTTCTGATTCAAACATTTTAGGTGTTAACAAAAATGCAGAAAAATAAAAAAATGTTGACTTATAACAAGATGGAATAATGTAAATAATGTGCATATCACCGTAAAAGAATAAAAGTAACAAATTTATCTAATGTACTTATAAGAGTTTTTATAGATTATAGCACAAAAATATGGCTTCTTTTTCACAAACACTAATTAGTAAAAGAAAATACCTAGAACTTACTAGATTTCATTAGAAACAAACATCAAAGGCAAATACAACATTCTAAATAAAAACATATGCAAAAAGTAGTTGATACAAAACAAACAGATGTAGGAGTATATGTATCTCCTGCAAACAAGATTCAACTGGTTGAAATGACACCTGCCTGAGTGACACTCAGGATAATCAGTACATAAAGAAATGTGCTGCCCGAGTGTCGGTCAGGCTAAACTGTTAAGTGGTCAAAATAAGAAAATTTAATTTGGATCATTACTAATTAATACATATAGGTATTGATTATGGGAAATAAGCTATATGGTGCCACAATTTGTTCTAAAAGGGAAAGATACCACTTTGATATTGTGTGCATTTATATAAACAAAAAGAACTTGGATTACTTAGGATACATGAGCTCAAATGGGTTTTGTGAAATATATGTATATTTTTTTTGGTACCAGGGATCGAACTCAGGACCTTGTGCTTTCGAGGCAGGCGTGGTGCTACTGAGCTAAATCCCCTGCCTGAAACATTTTTCTTTTTGAGTGTTGGGGATTGGGGGATCAGGTTTACTCCAACATGAAAACACTTCTTTATAAGACCTGTCTTATATTCAAAAATTGACTTGTCCTCCCATAATTAAATCTGAGGTAGACACCATTGGGTGCATTTTTTCCTTTGTAACCTGTAAACTGAAACTTATTAAAACTATAGTTTCATTTCAGTAATGAAATAAATATTGGCACTTTGTGTGAATCAAACTGCTTCAATTTTTTTTTTTTTTTTACTTAGTTCTTTATTTTAAAAAGAGTAAATTAAAAAAAATTTTGGGGCCGGGGATTTAGCTCAGTGGTGCCGCTGCCTGCCTATAAAGCACAAGGTCCCGAGTTTGATCTCTGGTACCAAAAAAATAAATAAATAATTTTGTAAACAATGCAAAAAAATTGGGGTGAATTTCCCCTTCAAAACTACTCCTTGCCTGGGGATTTAGCTCAGTGATGCCACCGCACCGCATGCCTTGCAAGCAGTTTGATCCCCAGCACTGGAAAAAAAAAAAAAAATTACTGCTGCCCTCTGTTTCCCAGAGGTCAACACTGAACTTGATATGTATCTTTCTTGACCACACAGGGTTCCAGAGCTTGATTTTAATCCTTTGATGTATCATGGAGAGTTCCCATTATCAGCAATATGAGTCTCCCACAGCACTTGTAATGGTCACAAGATTAAAACTCCTGAGTTATTTATTCCATTACATTTTTATGAAATCAGTCAAACACTGTCTCAGGAAAGTCTCTCATTTGGGCCACCTTTCCAGTAGGAATTATAACATGAAGGATGTGTACATACCTTCCCTAGGGTCTCCCCACTTAGGAGTTAAAAGTATAAGAAGCCAAATGTGGTGGGGCATGACTAATTGCAACACTTTGGGAGGCTGAAGCAGTTGGATCCCATGTTGGAGCCCAGCTTGGGCAATTTAGTGAAACCCTATTTCAAAATAAAAAATTAAGGGCTGG